GGAACCTGCATGTTTAGACAATAGACGTAACTGAAAACGCCATTTACTCAACAAGTAAAACGTTTAGTCTAAAAGGAACACTCACTAAATCCAAGAGTTCTAAAGAAAACAACAACAATGCAGCTATTTTTGTAATGTCTGCAGAGGAATGTGGAACTGGATTTTGAGTAATGTAGAGCAGTGTTTCCCAAACTCATTCCTTGGGACCCCAAGGGGTGCACGTTTTGTTTTTTGCCCTAACACTACACAGATGATTCAAATAATTTAAGCTTGATGATTAGTTGATTATTTGAATAAGCTGTGTAGTGCTGGAGTAAAAACCAAAACGTGCACCCCTTGGGGTCCCGAGGACCGAGTTTGGGAAACACTGATGTAGAGGATTAGTGACAAATAATGTGTGTAACCTGATTCTGTTCTTCTCAATCCAATAACATGCAATGTATGACTCTTCACTTCACTTCAAAGACATCTCTTTTCCAACAGTTTGGCTAGGTTTCTACCTGAAACGAGTCATTCCGGTGATGCTGAACACAAATCTCCTAGGTTAATTAATGCATAGGCCTACACCACAAGGAATTATCATATTTTATAACAATGGTAACAAAATACAATTTCTTTGGTTAGGCCTAATATTCAAAATACTTATTTTACACCCATCAATCAAAGTCAGAGAGTAGGCAGGTAGCCTATCTATTGTCTGTACTGTAAACATCACAAATTCCACAAAGGGTATCAGCAGTTTTCAGTCAGCATTTGTCCTACAGGGTCTATGCTTTTGAGTAACTCAACGGGAGATTCAATCTCAATGAAAATCAAGGACAGTCAGAGATGCATAAAATGGGTAAGTACTAGGAGTGAAAAGCGGGAATCTGAAAGGACCACATTTGTGTATTGGTGTCAGCTCAAGTTATTGTTGCATGTTCATTCAACTGTGGAGCCCCCATGTTTGGCTAACCAGTGTCGCATAATGTGTTACTACATAAAGTATGCTACCTCCAGAAATAGCATATTCACACAATCCATGATTACCACAACCCAATTTCTTCACAAAGCAACTTCAGCAAAAATTGCAATTATCCCGATGTTCAAAACTCACTGTTGCCTGAGAGATTAAATCACAGATGATGAATGCTTTGGCTCACTCATTTTCCTTTCATAAAATAATACAATGTAGTTATTCTAGTTAAAGATGTCAGTATTGAAAAATATTTATTTTACTATTATGTACACAACTAGGTCCTGCAGTTGTCCACTGGGCTTGAAGACAAGACAGTACAACAGGGGCGTATTCATTACGCCAATACTGTTGCAAAACGTTTCTTAAACGGAAGCATACGGACGAAACAGGGAGGGACCTACCTCCCCGTCCAATAGAAACGCTCGTTTTAGGTGCAAACCTGTTCGGCTAATGACTACTGCCCATACCAGATCGAAACTTTCTCGTGCACCTGTCAAACAAGCTGCAACCACACATCCGAGCAAAGAAAGACGCACTGGGATTGCACTCGAGCCTCGATTTCTTTCTAAACATTTGTCATTTCACTTGCATTGAAATACATGACATCGCAGCGGGAAATTCGCTACAATGGCGAATTCTACAATTCAAACCTATTGTCACTATAGATGTGATGGCCCAAAAGGTTACAATTATGTAACAATGATGTAACAAGAAATGTAACTGTAGCTATAGCTATAGGGTAACAAATGTATAGAGAATCAATTACTGTACAAATCACTCACCTTTGAATATAACTCGTTTACGGACATGGTCCAACAACAAGAGCACTCTCTAACACTATCACCGAAACTACGGGAGCATGAAGAAGTACCGCACTGTTTATGAATGATAATGTCTCATAATTGTTGATCATCTCAACGTTTTTTTATCTAATTAGAATAGTCACATTCCCATACAATCTCGTATTCCAGAGTTGAGCTAAATTTGTTTGCCACTTCCGACCCCTTTCCTGGTGACGCCAGGTGTCTTCCCGTGGAAGAGTTGTCGAACAACTCAGTTTTGCTTGATCACCCTCATATTCCTCAAAAATGAAAAACGGCAACGAATTACTGCTTGATTTGGTTAGGCTATAAGTTTAATAACAGCTTCCCTTTAGTTCCTCGCCGTCGTATCCATGGACTCAGTCATGTTGACTGGCAATTTACAAAGCCGCATTCACGTTCAGAGTCCGCACGAGACCCCATCTGGCTCATGGGGGGGGGGAGAGAATCCAATTATGCTTTTAGTATATAATGATCATCAAATTATGGCTTTAGTATATAAATTGACAACTTCTAACATAGGCCTAAATGTATGGCTATTATAGGGTTTATCTTCAAACATTTCTGGAATCTTTATTAAATTGAACCTTTCCCCCCACAAAATCTTAATAGACATGATGTGCCTATAGTTATGTTGGAGAGGGGTAACTAATAATGAAACATCTTCAAATAGCCTTAGTTCATGCCATAATTTAATCTAATTAGATATTTTCTGAATAGCCATGGTTTGGATAATACTTTTTTTATGATTTCCTGAACTCAGTGGACAGTAACTTAGTTCAAGGCAAGCATTAACAAGTCCTAAGTGTTATCTAATTGATTGTACTACAATCTGTGACTTGAACTAGGCTGATTCCTGAAGCCTATTAAAATGTCATGCTTGAACATTGATATTGGTGACAGCTGAAAGATTACACACATTTGGGGACATTATAAAACACAGCATAATTGATACCTCCTCTCCCGCATTTAGTCCCACAAAAGCAGTATGTTACCTGGCAGTAAAGTTCATAGTCAATCTTCTCCTCTTGTTTTTTCACTATGGTGTTAGGTTCTTTCTGTTGCCTTTTCATGATGGTGTTATATTCCTTAGATATGTAGTAGAAGATTCTGCTACTCTATTCAGAGGTAGCTGTGATTATTCCATGTTCCAGATCATACAGTTCTCAATACATTCTTGCCAGTAGGCTATTTGGGAGTCGACGCTTCGCTTGAGCAATAATTCAAGTCTGCCTGAGCAGAAGACAGAACAAAACACTCTGTTCCAATAGCAGGCCATGACTCCTCCACTCCCAAACCACTCCTTCTGCAGGTATGGGGTGTTGACTGGCTTCACCTTCCAAGGTGCTATATGGAATCTGACACACAGGCAGGCAGACAAAATACATTCCAGGAATTAAAATCATTAAAGAGAACAGATGAGATCACAGATGGAACAGGTCACAAGGACAACGTGTGTTATTTGTTAATGTGGTTTCCAAATGTCAATCCATGTCTTACATTTACATTTTAGATTTTAGTCATTTAGCAGACGCTCTTATCCAGAGCGACTTACAGTTTTAGTGAGTGCATACATTTTTCATACTGTAACAGTCTTGTAACAGAATACATCTTTATTTTTTTAACATTCTACAATTTATATACATTCTACTGAAGTTCACATTGAACTAGTGTTCATAACTCGTACACATAAGGAAAAGGGTTTGTTTTATTATAAAATAGACCTAAAACAGTTGGTTACCAAGATGGATAGACATTACTCAGTCAGTACTTCCATTTGGAGAGGTGTGTATACATGCCTCGTTCCACAGCAACAGCAGGTAATCCTAATGTTGTGGCTAACACCATGGGTTGCTTTGGGAAACGGCACCGATAATTAGTATGACTCAATGCTTTGAAAGGGTGTTTCCTGATCATGCCACTAACAGCATGTTCTGATAGGTCAGACTGACCACTGAAGTCCTATCATCTGCTCAACTGCCTACTGGTACTTCATAAAAGGTATGTGTCATGTGATGAGTCTAAGAACAACAATAGACTCAATGGCAGTTATGGCACTAAAATCAAGTCAGTCGAGTTGGGTGACACAATAATAGTCCAACTCTTATTTCTGGCACCGCTGTTTCACGCCTTATTTAACATGCTAATTACAGGCACATCTGATTTTTGTTTGGCCGATTTATACAGCACATGATCCAGTATGAAAATGTATGCACTCACTAACTGTAAGTCGCTCTGGATAAGAGCGTCTGCTAAATGACTAAAATGTAAATGTAAATTATCTTAAATGTCACACACACACACGCACTCACTCTCTCACACACTCTACAAGATTTTCTTTCTCTGCTTTCACTCGCTGTTGCTATATCCAGAGAATGCAACTTAATTAAACACAAGAGCCCTTAAGCTCATGACACAATGTATTTCACACACTTTATCCCTGTATTACCCCACAATGTTTTTCTTGCCACCATCACGTGATGACATTACAGTGCAATGAAATCCAGACACTCCTTTATTCATGTACATGCGGGCAGGCCTCCCACAGTAATATTATGCCATTGCAAACTCATTTATCCTCAAATAGGTCAATTTAATATACCAACAATGTGCTCAAATAGGAGTTTCTCAAATGTAACATTGACATCTTTTATTTACAGCTCTACTTACTGGACAAAACATAAACAGCTTAATTCCTGGGCAAATCCTCCATCAATTAATACAATAGCACCCTGCCAATGAGCAAAATAGAAAATATATTTCCTGAACTCATGAGTAAGCATCATGAGCAAACTTATTTTATTTGCATTTAATATCACTATGCCATTTTCGGAGAAACATGGACAGGTCATTTCCCATTTCTATTTAGAGGATTACGGCGTGATGAATTGGCCGGAGATGTGTTTTTATGAGGTTAGACATCGTTCAACAGGACAGGTGTGTGTTCATGTGGGTGTGTGATAGTTAAAGATGAGTTTTTGTGTATGTTAGCTGAGTCACGAATGGTGTGTGTGCACGCGATGTGTATCTGAGTACGTGTCCCCTGCCGAGCCAGGCCATAAATGCATTTGCTTTACTTCACATATTATTATTATTATTATATTCACAGGTTGCTCCAAGCTAAACTGTCCCTGTGGGCTGGTGGAAGAGGTTCTCCTGAAGGGGTGGACAGCCCTGGTGTGTGAGGTAAGCCTGGAGAAGATCTCCTGCATCTTCCTGTTCTACTGGTCCTGGTAGACCAGGCCCTGCTGGTGCTCCTGCTCTGTCTGAACCCTTCCCTCATCACGCAACTGCAGCTAGGCCAGCAGGTCTGCCTGGAACTCCTGACAGCCCCATCTCAGACTAGGAGAGGAAAGCAGAGATATGGATTCATTGCGAATACTTTTGCTGTGTGTAAAAGAGGGCTGGAGATATGGAGAAAAAATGGTATGTGTATTGCTGTGAGAGGACGCCTGTCAGAATAATTGATCTTCCTCATCCAGCAGTTTGTTCTAATGTATGGTTTTGTTCAGCTCTACTCTCTCCTTGGCTAGCTGGGCTAGTTTCTGCATGTTCAGATCCACTAAGGTAGAAGCACAAACACACAAGCACACACACCATGATACCACATCCAATATATAAGATTACAGGTATAAACAAGTCATTGTGAATCAACACTGTGTCACAGAGGATAACAGTATATCATGCTCAAGTGCAACTACTGCTGGTACTGAATATGCACGTTTTGACAACAACATCGAGCCGGGTGTGAGGGCCGTCACCGACCCACAGGACTGGGTGATCTCGCTCTCCGAGGCGGACGTGAGAAGGATCTCTAATCAGGTCAACACCCGAAAGGCCGCGGACCCCGACGGTATTCCAGGTCACATTCTCAGAGCATGTGCAGAACAGCTGGCAGGCATATTCACGGTAATTTTCAACCTCTCCTTGTCCCAGTCTATATTACCCACATGTTTTAAGAGGACCACAATCATTCCTGTTCCTAAGAACTCCAAGGCTTCATGCCACAATGACTACCGCCATGTAGCGTTCACTTCTGTAATCATGAAGTGTTTTGAGAGGCTGGTTATGGCACACATTCACTCCACCATAGACCCACTCCAATTTGCATACCGCCCCAACAGATCCATAGACAACGCAATCTCAATTACTCTACACACTGCCCTCACCCACCTAGATAAGAGGAATATCTATGTGAGAATGCTGTTCATTGACTACAGCTCAGCGTTCAACACCATTGTCTCCTCTAAGCTCGACACCAAGCTTAGGACCCTGGGACTGAACACCTTCCTCTGCAACTGAATCCTGGACTTCCTGATAGGCTGACCCCAGGTGGTGAGGGTAGGCAACATCACCTCCACCATGCTGATGCTTAACACGGGTGCTTAACGCCCCCTGTACTCCCTGTTCACCCATGACTGTGTGGCCACACGACTCCAACACCATTATCAAGTTCACTGACGACACAACGGTGGTAGGCCTGATCACCGTCGATGATGAGTCAGCCTACAGGGAGCAGGTCAGTGACCTGGCAGTGTGGTGCCAGAGCAACAACCTCTCCCTCAACATCAGTAAGACCAAGGAGCTGATCGTGGACTACAGGAAACGAGGGGGTGAGCACGCCCCCATCCACATCGACGGGGTGGCAGTGGAACAGGTAGACAGCTTCAAGTTCCTCTGTGTCCAATTCCCTAAAGACTTCAAATGGTCCAAACACACACGCACAGTCGTGAAGAAGGTGCGGCAGTGCCCCTTCCCCCTCAGGAGGTTGAAAAAGTTTGGCATGGGCCCTCAAATCCTGAAAAGGTTCTACAGCTGTACCATTGAGAGCATATTGACTGGCTGCATCACTGCTTGGTATGGCAATAGCACCGCACTAGATCACATGGCGCTACAGAGGGTTGTGCGGACAGCCCAGTACATCACTGGGGCCGAGCTCCCTGCCATCCAGGACCTCTATATCAGGCAGTGTGAAAACAAGGCCCGGAAAAACATCAAAGACCCCAACCACCCAAGCCATAGACTATTCTCTCTGCTGCCGCACGGCAAGAGGTACCGGTGCATCAAGTCTGACACCAACAGGCTCTTGAACAGCTTCTATCTCCAAGCAATACGGCTGATAAATAGCTAACAAAATAGTTACACGGTCCTTGTTTACCTTGTATCTTTATTGACCTTTTATTTCAATATTTGCACACTCACAGGGCCTAATTCTTATTTGTTGTGTTTTTTTTTCTAGTAATACATTATAATTGATTATTACATTGTTATGTTTTGAGTTTGCAAGAAAGGCATTTCACTGTACTTGTGCATGTGACATTAAAACTTCAAACTTGAAGCTCTCCTTTCCTCCCCTTCCTTCCATTTCTCCTGGATCTGCAGGCGGCGTGTCCATCACGTCCTTCATCAGCCTATCCCTGGCCTCTGGACCCAGGTCTGCTTCAGCTCTATCAGCTGCTTTGTCTCCGCCTCCTGTCCCTTCTGCTCCTCAAGCTACTCTGCCCCACTCGCAGCTCAAGCTGTAAAAACACACGCTCAGTCAGTTGTCCTCTGCCTCGTTTAGTTTCATAAGATTTCCTTTTGCGTGCCAAACAGACTGACAATGTGGTAATTTAATATGATAATACGACTCGACATTCCCACCTTCCTCATGACCTCGCCCTGTTTCTCATCCCTCTCCTCCGTCAGCAGCTGCTCCAGGATGCTCATGTCCAGGGCCAGCTCGTCCTCCTGCTCCCTGGCCAGGCGCTTCATCTTCAGCCTCAGATAGTGGTTCAGCAGCCTGCTCTCCTGAACCTGGAGCTTCTGATGGCACTCTCTTTGCTCCTCCAGACGCAGCATCTCTCTCTGCTCCCCATGGCACACACACAGAGAAAGACACAGAGGGCTCAATTAGTGATCACAGAGCAGAAACACACATAGACTCAGAGAGAAACATCTCAGCTACAGGCTGAATTAGCCTACCAGTCAGTGGCGACCCGTCCGTTAGTGCAAGTGGGGCAGAGCCCCACCTGTTTTGAGCCCCACATTTTTTGCTAAAAAAGAAAGAAAAAGAAAACGTTTTGCACATTAATACGTGTCACATATCAGTTTGCAAACAATGTAAAAAATATATATATAATTTAGTTAATACTTTTCTTGAGTAAGGCAGCACCAAAATGCAGGTGTTTCAGCCTAGCTCAGTGCTTTCTGTGGTGGTCGGGCAAGCCAGCAGAAAATACGGAGCGTTGTGCCGTGATTGGCTCAGTGTTCAGTCACTCATGGGGACACTACATCACCGCCAAGTCTAAGGGTAGATCTAGAAAATTCAAGCCCATTGGATGCTGCCATAGTTACATTAGAAGTGCCCATCCAAGAAGGCTCAAGGTCATTGGCCACAGATAAAATGACGTCAAATCACGTTATATCTACAGTAGCTTTGATTGGACTGATCATGTCAACATCATACTTTCAAAATCTTAGCTAGCAGACATTATCATGAATCAAGTCGACAATCTACTGGCAAATCATTTTAGTCCTTGTCATATGAAGAGAAATCAGGAAGAGAAATTATAGGGTCTCTTTTCCTAGTTTAAAATGATAAACATTCAACATTGGCCATGCTGTCAATGAAGCATGATTTGTGCCGCGCTCAAAACAACTGTTAACTCGGAACTGCAAAATCTGACTTTAGTGAGTTCAAGACAACTGGGAACTCGGGAGAAACGAGCTACGACTGGGAAAATACGTTTTGAACTTTAATCCACCTCGGAATTGTAAATCCGGAACTCGGGCCTCTTTCTAGAGCTATGACCTGAAGATCACTGACGTCATCATGATTCTACCTTTTTTTTTCTTCCAGTTCCCAGTTATCTTGAAAGCACCATAAATCCAGAGAATGCCAGACTTTGATGACAAAGTTTGATGACAACATTTTCCCACAGAGTCCAAAAATGTATTGTATGCTGCTGCATAAATTATGCAATATTCCAGGGATATATGCATACTGTAGCTAAGAAAGTAATACTAAGTGTATGTTGTGTAGTAAGCTGTTAGTAGCCCATGTGCCTCACCTTAATAATTTGGTATATTTTCACCTTTTAATTTCGCTTACTGTTCTGACTTGGTGGTGCACATGTAGCCTATAACCTGTTTTTGAGAAATGTAATCATTGAATATTGTAAGAGCTTTCATTGTCTGCTTATATGCCCCCTTTATTTTATTTTTTTTATGCAGTAAATGAGGCTGAATGAACTGTTTCGCTGCCAGACTCTGCTGTTGGACAGCTTTATGTAGGCTCTAACAGTTTGTGGGCACCGTTTGTCACCGTTATAGTGCAATTAATGTATTGTTCAGTGTTGTGTTGTGTAGTGTAGTGGCTTTGCTGGCATGCATCCCACATTTTTATTTCTTGCCCCACCAAGATGTACATGCTAAAATCGCCACTGCTAGCAGTAGCTGGGCTTCCTCCTCTTTGAGCTGCTTGGCCGCCTCCATCTGAACACGCAGGTTGGCCAGCTGCTGCAGGTTACTCTGGCGCTGCCTCTGCGCCTCCTGGCACTCCCGCTCCTCCTTGGTTCACCAGTCGCTCTCCCACAGCTGAGCAAAGAGCTGCTCCACCTCCACCTCCTCTTTCTGCTGCTGTATGTAGCTGCACAGCCCGCTCTGTACAAACCTCGTCCTGTCTGCGTCGAGTCTGTTCAGCCAGCAGCTCCTCACTCTTCTCTCTCAACATTTTCCATTTAAAAAATATAACCTATCGGTATGGAGGTATTTACACGGATGAAAAAAACTGCAACATTGGCAACTAGAAACACCCTTAAGGTGTTCTCTCTACCTGAATAGCTGTTCAAGCTTGTTTTCAACCACTCTCTGCCTTTCACTCTCCGTCCTCTATTGCAGTAACTTGGCTCTCTCACACATCTTGGCTTGTCTCTCCAGCACTCTCAGGAGTTCCTTCTCAACTGCCTCCAACATACACTATATAAACAAAAGTATGTGGTCACCCCTTCAAATTAGTGGATTCGGCTATTTCAGCCACACCCGTTGCTGACAGGTGTATCAAATCGAGCACACAGCCATGCAACCTCCATAGACAAACGTTGGCAGTAGAATGGCCTTACTGAAGGGCTCAGTGACTTTCAACATGGCACCGTCATAAAATGCCACCTTTCCAACAAGTCAGTTCGTCAAATTTCTGCCCTGCTAGAGTTGCCCCGGTCAACTGTAAGTGCTGTTATTGTGAAGTAGAAACGTCTAGGAGCAACAACGGCTCAGCCGTGAAGTGGTAGGCCACACAAACTCACTGAACGGGACCGCCGAGTGCTGAAGCTCGTAATAGTTTGCAAGCCCTGCCACATCCGACGAGCGTCAGAGCCGGTGTAGTAGGATTCAATCTTAGTCCTGTATTGACGCTTTGCCTGTTTGATGGTTCGTCTGAGGGCATTTCAGGATTTCTTATAAGCGTCTGGATTAGTGTCCCGCTCCTTGAAAGCGGCAGCTCTAGCCTTTAGCTCGGTGTGGATGTTTCCTGTAATCCATGGCTTCTGGTTGGGATATGTACGCACGGTCACTGTGGGGACGACATCGTTGATGCACTTATTGATGAAGCCGGTGACTGAGGTGGTATACTCCTCAATGCCATTGGATGAATCCCGGAACATATTCCAGTCTGTGCTAGCAGAAGAGCCCTGTAGCTTAGCATCCGCGTCATCTGACCACTTCCTATTGAGCGAGTCAATGGTACTTCCTGCTTTCGTTTTTGCTTGTAAGCAGGAATCAGGAGGATAGAATTATGGTCAGATTTGCCAAATGGAGGGCGAGGGAGAGCTTTGTATGCATCTCTTTGTGTGGAGTAAAGGTTGTCTAGAGTTTTTTTTCCTCTGGTTGCACATGTGACATGCTGGTAGAAATTAGGTCCAACTGATTTAAGTTTGCCTGCTTTAAAGTCCCCGGCCACTAGGAGCGCCGCTTCTGGATGAGCATTTTCTTGTTTGCTTATGGCCTTATACAGCTCGTTGAGTGCGGTCTTAGTGCCAGCATTGGTTTGTGGTGTTAAATAGATGGCTACGATTAATATAGATGAAAACTCTCTTGGTAGATAGTGTGGTCTACAGCTTATCATGAGGTACTCTACCTCATTAGACATCACGCACCAGATGTTATTGACAAATAGACACACACCCCCACCCCTCGTCTTACCAGACGTAGCTGTTCTGTCCTGCCGATGCATGGAAAACCCAGCCAGCTCTATATTATCCGTGTCGTCGTTCAGCCACGACTCTGTGAAACATAAGATATTAGAGTTTTTAATGTCCCGTTGGTAGGATAATCTCGAACGGAGATCATCCAGTTTATTTTCCAGTGATTGCACGTTGGCCAATAGAACGGATGGTAGAGGCGGGTTACCCACAAGGCACCCCGATCTCCACCCCCTGTATTTCCGTATTTTCTTCACACGAATGATGGGGATTTGGGCCTGGTCTCTGGGAAACAGTATATCCTTTGCGTCAGACTCATTAAATAAAAAATATTTGTCTAGTTCGAGGTGAGTAATCGCTGTTCTGATATCCAGAAGCTCTTTTCGGTCATAAGAGACGGTAGCAGCAACATTATGTACAAAATAGCACAGTTGGTTAGGAGCCCGTAAAACGGCAGCCATGGTGGATGAGGAATAATGGTCTGGGGCTGTTTTTCATGGTTCGGGCTAGGCCCCTTAGTTCCAGTGAAGGGAAATCTTAACGCTATAGCATACAATGACATTCTAGACGATTCTGTGCTTCCAACTTTATTGCAACAGTTTGGGGAAGGCCCTTTCCTGTTTCAGCATGCCAATGCCCCTGTGCACAAAGCGAGGTCCATACAGAAATGGTTTGTTGAGATCGGTGTGGAAGAACTTGACTGGCCTGCACAGAGCCCTGACCTCAACCCCATCAAACACCTTTGGGATGAATTGGAACGCAGACTGCGAACCAGGCCTAATCGCCCAACATCAGTGCCCAACCTCACTAATGCTCTTGTGGCTGAATGGAAGCAAGTACCTGCAGCAATGTTCCAACATCTAGTGAAAAGCCTTCCCAGAAGAGTGGAGGCTGTTATAGCAGCAAAAGGGGGACCAACTCCATATTAATGCCCATGATTTTGGAATGAGATGTTCGACGAGCAGGTGTTCACATACTTTTGGTCATGTAGTGTATCATACAATCTAAGGGAGACATGGGTGATAGACAGACATGGAGCAATATATATACAGTAGCTACCTCTATTTTAAAAAAGATCCGCTGTTATGGTAACTTAACCAAAAGATTTGTCACAGACCTCTATCTCCTCTCATCAATGCCCATCTGATACTTTCCCATGGCATCTTTGACCCATCTCTCAATGGTTCCTAACACAATGCAACTTTCAGAGTTATTCTCCCAGTGCTCTTCAGGTCACAGGTGTTCTGGTACTTGGTGAACTCCAACACCTTGTCCCGGGCCGCCTCCTGTTTCCTTCTCTCCAGGATTAGGTAGTCTGGAGGCCTGGATGACGGGAACCTCGCCCTCTGGAACATGTAGTGAGGGTTTAGTAATAATGGTTATGTGGGCCAGCTGCTTCTCCTGAACAAGTGACCTTGCCAAGGAAACCTCCAAGCCTTAGTTATTTGCTTTAACCCCTGGTTCACCCCAGACTTGACTGCCCTTGACCAGCACAAAAACATCCTGTGGCGTACTGCATTAGCATCGAACAGTCCCCGCAATATGCAACTTTTCAGGGAAGTCAGGAACCAATATACACAATCAGTTAGGAAAGCAAAGGCTATCTTTTTCAAACAGAAATTTGCATCCTGTAGCACTAACTCCAAAAAGTTTTGGGACACTGTAAAGTCCATGGAGAATAAGAGCACCTCCTCCCAGCTACCCACTTCACTGAGGCTAGGAAACACTGTCACCACCGATAAATCTGCGATAATCGATAATTTCAATAAGCATTTTGCTACGGCTGGCCATGCTTTCCACCTAGCTACCCCTACTGTCACGCCCTGGCTCTGGGGACTCTTAAATATTGAGCCAGGGTGTGGATTTTCATTGTTTAGTTTTCTATGTTTTTCGTTCTAGATCGTTTATATCTATGTTGGCCAGGGTGGTTCCCAATCAGAGACAGCTGTAGCTCGTTGTCTCTGATTGGGGACCATACTTAGGCAGCCTTTTGGCATGTTAGTTTGGTGGGATCTTGTTCCGTAAGGTTTTGTGTATAACCTAGGACTTCACGTATCGTTTGGTTTATTGTTTTGGTTCGTGTTGTAAGTACTGAATAAAGAATGTACACTTATCACGCTGCGCCTTGGTCCGCTTCATCTGTCGACGATCGTGACAGAAGATCCCACCACCAGAGGACCAAGCAGCGTGCCCAGGAGGAGAAGTTGGCGATGTCCCAGGTGGGCGAATGGTGGTCTTGGGAGGACATATTTGCGGGCAGAGGGCCATGGGCAAAAGTAAATGCCCAGGCAGGAGAGGAGAAACGGCGCCAACCGTGCCGACGACGGACACGCGAGAGGCAACCCCAAGTAATTTTTTTTTGGGGGGGCACATGGCGTGGACGACGGGGCTGCTGGAGGCAGCTACAGGACGAATCGGCGGACTAGGAGAGGAGGCCATCAGGTTTGGGGGGCTGGAAGGGTGGTTGGCGGAGCCTAGAGGTAGAGCAGAGCCAACTCCCTGTACTCAGGCTAGGCAGCGTGAGACTGGGCAGGTTCCGTGCTATGCGGAGCCACGTACTGTGCCGCGAGTCCTGTACGTCCTGTGCTAGCACCACGCACGTGTCGTGCTAAGGTGGGCATGCAGCCAGGACGGAGTGTGCCGGCTCAACGCTCGTGGCCTCCAGTACCCCTCCTCGGTCCCGGATATCCTGGCCAGTGCCACGTGCTGTAGTGCCAGTACGAGTGCACAGCCCTGTACGTCCTGTGCTGATGCCTCACACAGATTGTGTGGAAATAGGCATTCAGCCAGGACGGGTTGTGTCAGCTCTCCGCTCCAGACCTCCAGTCCGTCTCCACAGTCCAGCCCGGCCTGTTCCTGTCCCTCGCACCAAGCCTGTGGTGCGCGTCGCCAGCCCGGTCCGGCCTGTTCCTGCTCCCCGCACCAAGCCTGTGGTGCGCGTCGCCAGCCCGGTCCGGCCTGTTCCTGTCCCTCGCACCAAGCCTGTGGTGCGCGTCGTCAGCCCGGTCCGGCCTGTTCCTGCTCCCCACACCAAGCCTGTGGTGCGCGTTGCCAGCCCGGTCCGGCCTGTTCCTGTCCCTCGCACCAAGCCTGTGGTGCGCGTCGCCAGCCCGGTCCGGCCTGTCCCTGCTCCTCGCACCAAGCCTGTGGTGCGCGTCGCCAGCCCGGTCCGGCCTGTCCCTGCTCCCCGCACCAAGCCTGTGGTGCGCGTCGCCAGCCCGGTCCAGCCTGTTCCTGCTCGCCGCACCAAGCCTGTGGTGCGCGTCGCCAGCCCGGTCCGGCCTGTTCCTGCTCCCCGCACCAAGCCTGGGGTGCGCGTCGCCAGCCCGGTCCGGCCTGTTCCTGTCCCTCGCACCAAGCCTGTGGTGCGCGTCGTCAGCCCGGTCCGGCCTGTTCCTGCTCCCCGCACCAAGCCAATGGTGCGCGTCGTCAGCCCGGTCCGGCCCGTTCCTGCCCCTCGCACCAAGCCAGTGGTGCGCGTCGCCAGCCCGGTCCGGCCCGTTCCTGCCCCCCGCACCAAGCCAGTGGTGCGCGTCGTCAGCCCGGTCCGGCCCCTTCCTGCTCCCCGCACCAAGCCAGTGGTGCGCGTCGTCAGCCCGGTCCGGCCCGTTCCTGCTCCCCGCACCAAGCCAGTGGTGCGCGTCGTCAGTCCGGCACGGTCAGCTGCTCCACACCGGAGCCAGAGCAATCCGCTCCACCGGTGTCCAGTCCAGCTCCGGCCAGCGGGGCCAGACCAGACATGGGGCGCTACGGGGGGGTAGAGAGAGAGTGGTGGTCACGCCCGGAGCCGGATCCGCCTCCGAGGCGGAATGCCCACCCGGCCCCTACCCTCTTGTGTTTGGTTGGCGCGGTCGCAGTCCGCGCCTTTGGGGGGGGGTACTGTCAGGCCCTGGCTCTGGGGACTCTTAAATGTTGAGCCAGGGTGTGGATTTTCATTGTTTAGTTTTCTATGTTTTTCGTTCTAGATCGTTTATATCTATGTTGGCCAGGGTGGTTCCCAATCAGAGACAGCTGTAGCTCGTTGTCTCTGATTGGGGACCATACTTAGGCAGCCTTTTGGCATGTTAGTTTGGTGGGATCTTGTTCCGTAAGGTTTTGTGTATAACCTAGGACTTCACGTATCGTTTGGTTTATTGTTTTGGTTCGTGTTGTAAGTACTGAATAAAGAATGTACGCTTATCACGCTGCGCCTTGGTCCGCATCTGTCGACGATCGTGACACCTACCCCGGCCACCAGCTCTGCACCCTCCGCTGCAACTTGCCCATGCCCCCCCCCCCCGCTTCTCCTTAACCCAAATTCAGATAGCTGATGTCCTGAAAGAGCTGCTAAATCTGAACCCCTACAAATCAGCTGGGCTAGACAATCTGGACCCTTTCTTTCTAAAATTAGCTGCCGAAATTGTTGCAACCACTATTACTAGCCTGTTCAACCTCTCTTTCGTATCGTCTGAGATCCCCAGAGATTGGAAAGCTGCCGCGGTCATCCTCCTCTTCAAAGGGGGTGACAGTCTAGATCCAAACTGTTACAGACCTATATCCATCCTGCCCTGCCTTTCGAAAGTATTTGAAAGCCAAGTTAACAAACACATCACCGACCATTTCGAATCCCACCGTACCTTCTCCGCTATGCAATCCGGTTTCCGAGCTGGTCATGGGTGCACCTCAGCCACGCTCAAGGTCCTAAACGATATAATAACCGCAATCAATAAAAGACAGTACTGTGCAGCCGTCTTCATCGACCTGGCCAAGGCTTTTGACTCTGTCAATCACCGCATTCTTATTGGCAGACTAAATAGCCTTGGTTTCTCAAATGACTGCCTCGCCTGGTTCACCAACTACTTCTCAGATAGAGTTCAATGTGTCAAATTGGAGGGCCTGTTGTCTGGACCTCTGGCAGTCTCTATGGGGGTGCCACAGGGTTCAATTCTCGGGCCGACTCTATTCTCTGTGTATAACAATGATGTCGCTCTTGCTGCTGGTGACTCTCAGATCCACCTCTACGCAGACGACACCATTTTGTATACATCTGGCCCTTCATTGGACACTGTGTTAACAAACCTCCAAACGAGCTTCAATGCCATACAACACTCCTTCCGTGGCCTCCAACTGCTCTTAAAAGCTAGTAAAACTAAATGCATGCTCTTCAATCGAATGCTGCTTGCACCCGCCCGCCCGCCCGACTAGAATCACTACTCTCGGCGGGTCTGACTTAGAATATGTGGATAACTACAAATACCTAGGTGTCTGGTTAGACCGTAAACTCTCCTTCCAAACTCACATTAAGCATCTCCAATCCAAAGTTAAATCTAGAATCGGCTTCCTATTTCGCAACAAAGCCTCCTTCACTCATGCTGCTAAACATGCCCTCGTAAAACTGACTATCCTACCGATCCTTGACTTCGGCAAAAATAGCTTCCAATACTCTACTCAGCAAATTGGATGTAGTCTATCACAGTGCCATCTGTTTTGTCACCAAAGCCCCATATACTACCCACCATTGTGACCTGTATGCTCTCGTTGGCTGGCCCTCACTACATTTCGTCGCCAAACCCACTGGCTCCATGTCATAAATCACTTCTAGGCAAATCCCCGCCTTATCTTAGATCATTGGTCACCATAGCAACACCCACCCGTAGTATGCGCTCCAGCAGGTATATCTCACTGGTCATCCTCAAAGCCAACACCTCCTTTGGCCGCCATTCCTTCCAGTTCTCTGCTGCAAATGACTGGAACGAACTGCAAAAATCTCTGAAGCTGGAGACACTTATCTCCCTCACTAACTTTAAGCATCAGTTGTCAGAGCAGCTTACCGATCACTGCACCTGTACACAGCCCATCTGTAATTAGCCCACCCAACTACCTCATCCCCATATTGTTATTTACATTGTTATTTATTTTGCTCATTTGCACCCCAGTATCTCTATTTGCACATCATCTTCTGCACATCTATCACTCCAGTGTTAATACTAAATTGTAACTATTTTGCACTATGGCCTATGTATTGCCTTACCTCCATAACGTACTACATTTGCACACACTGTATATAGATTTTCTATTGTGTTATTGACTGTACGTTTTGTTTATTCCATATGTAACTCTGTGTTGTTGTTGTTTTTATCGCACTGCTTTGCTTTATCTTGGCCAGGTCGCAGCTGTAAATGAGAACTTGTTCTCAAATGGTACAGAAGGGAATCCCTCCGGCTACAACTACAATCATTGCTAGATATGGTTGGTCTTTCTAAGTTTACAACGGTTTTTTCTTTGTTTAGCTTTGTACAACATATTGTTTGGCTGATTAGCTATCTAGCAAGCAAGGTTAATAAACTAGCCACAGAGTTTGTACAGTACAGTATTGAACTTACCACAGCCACTGAATGAGGTGTTGGTCCCGTGAATTCGCGACATTGCGCCTTATTTCTAGTCTGACTGATCAACATATTTCGATACAAAATAAGCTTCTTCCCAGCTAGATACTTCTATTTGACTTGCATCCCTTGAAGTTTCGGGAATTGTTTCACATGGACCTTGACGAGAAGTCTCGGTCGAGTTTGTTGACGGAACTAGTCAAATGTTACCATGACAACTACAAAACATGCTAGGAGAATATTATCTGATCTCGAGAGACCTCTACTGGAGGCTTACTGCTTAGGCATTTTCTCATGTTGTATATTATCTATCAAAACATTTTCTCTGTCATCTAAATATTTCACATAATGGCAACATATCAAATCAGCAGAGAGAGGTGCATTTAAATAAATTAAAGTGCAGTAGTTTATTATTTCGGTTTAATAAGCCAATTTTATTTCAGGGAACAGTGCAATCATGGCCCAATCAAAATCGTGTTGTCCTCTTAGGTGTGTTAGTGCTCGGTTGGAACAAAATGTGCATTGACTGTATGTACTAAGTTCATGAATCTGATAGCAAGAAGTGAGTGAAGCTGATGGAAATGGGACTGCCTGGAGAGCTGGTTTCTATGTGACACTGAAACCCCTGAAGTTTATCTCACAAGGCGCATAAGATGTGACATTGTGTGGTACAGGGTTTGGCCAGGACGGACAGTTAATATACAGCTCATCTTAGCCCACAGGCTGTCACATATCTAAAACAGTCTGTACTGCTAGGTTGTATGAGGGGTTCTGGATTGCTGTGCCTGAGCTTGGAGAGGATGGAGACCCCGTTGTGTGAGGAAAGGAGATGGTGGAGTGTCCTGGAGGGGTCTTGCTCAGGCGCTGGTTGTAGTATACATGAGGAGCTGGGACATCTGAGTATATGCTGGTTATGGCACCCTCCTCCATCTTGTTTCCAGCTTCATTCTCTGGTGCAGCTTCACAAGACTGCTCTGGGTCACCCACTATATCAATCTCACTGGGATGACATGGATCCACATAGAGGATATGGCAGCCATGGTCCTCCTGGAAAACAGGTAAAGAAAGACAGGGTTGCAAAATTCCGGTAACTTTCCCAAAATTCCCCGGTTTTCCAGGAACTCCTGCTTGGAAGATTCCTGGAATTAAGAAGAAATAAGGAGGACCTCTGGGAATCCTCCCACCAGGATTTCTGGAAAAACAGGGAGGAAAGTTACCGGAATTTTGCAACCCTAATCAGGATATACCTGCAGCAAGTACTGCTTTCTAGTGTAGGGTTCTATACTGAACAAAAATATAAACGCAACATGCAACATATTTTTTTTTTTACAGATTATATAAGGAAATCAGTCAATTGAAATAAATTAATGAGGCCCAAATCTATGGATTTTACATGACTGGGAATACAGATATGCATCTGTTGGTCACAGATACCTTTAAAAAAAAAATCAGTATCTGGTGTGACCACCATTTGCCTCATGCAGCGCGACACATCTCCTTCGCATAGAGTTGATCAGGCTGTTGATTGTGGCTTGTGGAATGTTATCCCACTCCTCTTCAATGGCTGTGCAAAGTTGCTGGATATTGGCGGGAACTGGAACACGCTCAATGGGTGACATGTCTGGTAAGTATGCAGGCCATGGAAGAACTGTGACGTTTTCAGAATTGTCTACAGATTCTTGCGACATGGGCCGTGCATTATGATGCTGAAACATGAGGTGATGGCAGCGGATGAATGGCATAACAATGGGCCTCAGGATCTCGTCACGGTATTGGCATCGATAAAATGCAATTGTGTTCTTTGTCTGTAGCTTATGCATGCCCATAACATAACCCCACCACCACCATTGGGCACTCTGTTCACAACGTTGACATCAGCAAACTGCTGTCCCACACGACGCCATACACGTCGTCTGTGGTTGTGAGGCCTGTTGGACATACTGCCAAATTCTCTAAAACGACATTGGAGGCAGCTTATGGTAGAGAAATTAACATTTAATTATCTGGCAACAGCTATGGTGGACATTCCTGCAGTCAACATGCCAATTGCATGCTCCCTCAAAACTTGAGACATCTGTGGCATTGTGTTGTGTGACCAAACTGCACATTTTAGAGTGACCTTTTATTGTCCCCAGCACAAGGTGCACCTGTGTAATAATGATCATGCTGTTTAATCAGCTTCTTGATATGCCACACCTGTCAGGTGGATGGATTATCTTGGCAACACTAACAGGGATGTAAACAAATTTGTGCACAAAATTTGAGACATAAGCCTTTTGTGTGTATGGAACAATTCTGGGATCTTTTATTTCAGTTCATGAAACATGGGACCAACACTTTACATGTTGCGTTTATATTTTTTTTCAGTGTAGTGACAGTGCATTCGGAAAGTATTCAGACCCCTTGACTTTTTCAAAATTGTGTTAAGTTACAGCCTTATTCTAAAATTGATTTTAAAAAATAATAAATCCCTCATCAAACTACACACAATACCTCATAATGACAAAGCAAAAACGGGTTTTTAGACCTTTTTGAAAATGTATTAAAAATTAAAAAAATGGAAATATCACATAAGTATTCAGACCCTTTACTCAGTACTTTGTTGAAGCACCTTTGGCAGTGATTACAGCCTCGAGTCTTCTTGGGTATGACGCTACAAGCTTGGCACACCTGTACTTGGGGATTTTCTCCCATTCTTCTCTGCAGATCCTCTCAAGCTCTGTCAGGTTGGATGCGGAGCGTTGCTGCACAGCTATTTTCAGGTCTCCCCAGAGATGTTCGATCGGGTCCAAAGACTGGGCTCTGGCTGGGCCACTCAAGGACATTCAGAGACTTGTCCCGAAGCCACTCCTTGGCTGTGTGCTTAGGGTCGTTGTCCTGTTGGAAGGTGAACCTTCGCCCCAGTCTGAGGTCCTGAGCGCTCTGGAGCAGGTTTTCATGAAGGATCTTTCTGTACTTTGCTCCGTTAATCTTTGCCTCGATCCTGACTACTCACCCAGTCCCTGCAGCTGAAAAACATCCCCACAGCATGATGCTGCCACCACCATGCTTCACCGTAGGGATGGTGCCAGGTTTCCTCCAGACGTGACGCTTGGCATTCAGGCCAAAGAGTTCAATCTTGGTTTCATCAGACCAGAGAATCTTGTTTCTCATGGTCTGAGTGTCTTTAGGTGCCTTTTGGCAAACTCCAAGCGGGCTGTCATGTGCCTTTTACTGAGGAGTGGCTTCCGTCTGGTCACTCTACCATAAAGGCCTGATTGGTGGAATGCTGCAGAGATGGTTGTCCTTCTGGAAGGTTCTCCCATCTCCACAGAGGAACTCTAGAGCTCTGTCAGAGTGATCATCGGGTTCTTGGTCACCTCCCTGACCAAGGCCCTTCTCCCCCGATTGCTCAGTTTGGCCGGGCGGCCAGCTCTAGGAAGAGTCTAGGTGGTTCCAAACTTCTTCCATTTAAGAATGATGGAGGCCACTGTGTTCTTGGGGACCTTCAATGCTGCAGACATTTTTTGGTACCCTTCCCCAGATCTGTGCCTCGACACAATCCTGTCTCGGAGCTCTACGGACAATTCCTTTGACCTCATGGCTTGGTCTTTGCTCTGACATGCACTGTCAACCGTGGGACCTTATATTGCCAATTGAATTTACTACAGGTGGACTCCAATCAAGTTGTAGAAATATCTTAAGGATGATCAATGGAAACAGGATGCATTGGAGCTCAATTTCGAGTCTCATAGCAAAGGGTCTGAATACTTATGTAAATAAGGTATTTCCGTTTTTTTTATTTTATACATTTGCAAAAGTTTCAAAACATCTGTTTTCGCTTTGTCATTATGGGGTATTGTGTGTAGATTGCTGATGATTTGTATTTATTTAATCAATTTTAGAATAAGGCAAACAAAATGTGGAAAAAGTCTGAGTACTTTCCAAAGGCACTGTATACGCAAAAATAAGATTGGGTGGGACTGAGGACCTACCAGTGGTGTCAACCATTCCTACTTCCACACTGGCTTTGGAATTTTAGGATACAGCTTCTCTTTCAAACTGTTGACACAATAACATAAATAGTTGATAAAACAGTAACATGGACATGTCCTGGAAATAATAGCCAACAATGGAGTGGGAGCTGTCTTTGCAAAAGCATTTGACAACATGACAGTAAACGTATTCCTACCATTTCCAGTATTTGTAGCATAAGATGGTGACCAGCGTGAGGAGACAGGCAGCCAAACCCAAGGAAATGATGATCACTGTGATCAACTGATCAGCTGTGGAATGTAGTCAGAAAGTTACAGCCTTTTACAAAGCAGCAGCAATACAAATACACATCAACTGAATAGGTCAGGACATACTCTGTGGGACCATTTGGACGAAGACTGGTGAAGACTCTCCACCCTCCCCTACTGATGTGAGGGCCTTCACTATGAATCTGTAGGAGCTGATAGGTAGGCCTGTCAGGTTATTGGCCTTAGCCTCATCTGGCCATCAGAGAAGACAAAAAAATAAAAATAAAATAAAAAGAAAGCGCAACAAGATGTTTCAATGTATTCAATTTACTATTGAATACAATACATCCTCTCTCTGGGTATGTGTGTCATCATACCTATAGTGACATTGAAAGCTCTCATGCTGGAAGGATGGGAGATATCAGAGTAGTATATGATGTAACCACAAATTAACGCAGTCTGATTCTCAGGGGGAATACCAGTCCAGGAGATCAGAACAGTGTCTGAACCATGCTGTTCTGCAGCCAAACCCCGAATCTGTCCATTTGGAACTAATGAGCAAAGATGGAGAGGGACGGGTCAAATACTGTAGCAAGAGGAAAGTGCATGAAGAATTCTGGATTGAATTATTAAGTCAGAAGAGTGGATCCTTACCTAACTCTTTCACATAGCCGTCCCATTTCTCCAGTAGCTCTGGGACCCGTGGAGTACAGGCATAGAGGGAGAGTGTGTATCTCACCCCCTCTTCAAAGCTAGCTGGGATTGAGGAACCGGGACGAGGGCAAGAAGGTTTACAAATTTTTCACAAACCAAACTCCAAAGATATTACAATAATAAATAAAAAGCATTTACCTTGTGACATGCTGTTTAAGCAATTTCAACACACCATCCCCTTACTAAGGTTAATCAAAGATGTGCCTTCTTACCTGATTGGATTCTGGCGCTGGTTATATCAGTTGGTACCTTCTTCCACTCCAGTCTGCATTCACTGTATGTGGGACACCAGTCCACCACGAAGTAACAGCTAGCATTGGGGCTAGCAGACCAGGATAGGTCAAACCCACCATCACGGCCAACAATTTTCATGGAGCGTTTCATTCTGTGAGGGAGCCTGGGAATAGTGATGATAGAGGGGGAGGAGCTGCCAGCAGAGTTTCGGGCTGTAACTGTGACTCTTTGTCCCTCATTGGTGAATTGATCACTGAGGAGAAAGTCATGCTGAGGTGGATGGACAATGGTATTCTGCCTTCCCCAGGTCACCTCATAGTCCTTGATCTGCCCATGACTCTGTTTCACTGTAAGTGGCTAAAAGAGGAAGAATGAAAATCATAATCGGTTTGATATTATCAATGTCTAATTCAAGTCTTGATTATCAGCCCAGTTCCATAATGTGCTGTACTGAAGCATGACCAATAGTACATATAGTGTCCACACAATCTTCAAAACATACTTTCCATATTATAATGGTTTGGTTCCCCTCAATCTGCATCCATACATCTAACACTTCAGGAACTGGGACAAAAAAACACACAATGACATAGAAATTGTGAACTTTATGTGATCAAATACAATGCACACTGAAATCTTTACACAGACTGTGTGTGTGTAATCTGTCTTCCTATTTACTCATATTTGAAAAGGTGTGTGTATGTAGTTGTGTAGGGATAGGATACTCACTGTCCTCTTTGGTTTGTAAGGTACTCCAGTTGCCCCATTTCCAGAAGTGCTGTTTTAATCCACAACGCACCTGCACTATGTATGTCTGGGCAGGTGCTAGGCCATGTGAAACTACTGATGCAAGACCTATACCAGAATATTTCCTCTGTGAATAGAATGTAAATGGGTGTGGCATTAGTAATGCCTAGTTAATAACTCTATTGTTCAGACTTTGTGAATGGGTGAACCATTCTACTGTAGGTGTCCTACTGTAACTCACCATGCGTATGTGTCCACTGTGGTCCAGCTGTATTTGGCAAACAATTAATACTATATTGTACTGCTGCCTATCCCAGTCCCACTGAACACAGGCATTTCTGGCATTCACATCTGAAGCTACCACTTCCATGGGAGCCATTAAACGCACTGGAATGTTGAACCACACAACATTCAATGGCCTTGTAAATCAAGACTGAGAGTAAGGAATAGATTTGTATGCAGTGTGTGAGGAGTAGCTATCACACTACTCTACCTCTTTTCTTCAGGTCAGCTGTGTCTTTGAGCTCCAGTGTGCCGAGCGGGTTTCTGGCAGTCAATATCCAATTCCTCTCCCCCTGATCCACACGTAGTGTTTGGTAGCAGTTTGAGACTGTATCGTTTGGACAAGCTCTGAAAAGTACATTTACAATGTCACCTCCAGTGATTATTACACAATGATATTGTGGTGAGTGTGATGGAAGGAGTCAAGCGCAGGAGGGTATTCACCGAATACAGAGTTTATTCCGTCTTTACACACAAATGCGCTGGAATAGTGACAAACGAAACAGGCAGAGGGGAAATATCTACCTTGGCAACAAAATGTTACGAGTAGCTCCACCGAACTACACTGCTCTCACAATTAAACAATCACCCACAAGGACAAGGGGGCAGAGGGAACACTTATACACGGACTAACGAGGGGATAAGAACCAGGTGTGTGTAATGACAAGACAAGACATATGGAATGATGAATATAGGAGCGGCAGTGGTTAGTAAGCCGGTGACGACGAGCGCTGAAGCCTGCCCGAACAAGGAGGGGAGGCAGCCTTGGCGGAAGTCGTGACAGATATCAATGATAGCATGGCCTGGGTAGTGCTGTACCCTAATGAAGACAGCTTGCTGTCAAAACGTTGGTGAATAAATGATTGTATCTGTTACAGTACTGTACTGTCCTGTACCTTCCATTCAGGTGATAACAAGTCTTCCTCTGTTTAGTCAGATTGGTTGCCCTTCCTGTGTCCCAGTGACACTCCACTGACTCCAGGTCCCGGGTCTCACATACAAGGTTCCTGTCACCAGGGGGGTCTGCAGAGAGGATGAGGTTTGAACACAAAGGCTGCGTTTACACATGCAGCCCAATTCAGATATTTCTTTCACAATCAGATATATAATATTAATAATAGTAATAATTGGGCAAAAAGTCAGAATTGGGCTGCCTGTGTGAATGCAGCCATATAGATCCTATAATTCAATTGTGAAGTGAATTTAATTATAGATCTCTAGTTTTAAACACGTGTCATTTCCTTGATGATTACACTCAAATGATGAAGTTAACTGCACAGTAACGCAAGGGACTAGAGAGTTGTTCAGCTGTTAGATTATCTTAGATTGGTAAGAGGGTGGCTTACAAGCAGTTAATACTTACATCCCACGTGAACACAGGTGCCATACATAATTGAATTACAGTAGACATTGAAGCAACTGGGTGGAGAGGGAGACTTCATGTGCACAACCATGGCATAGCTCTGGTCACTGATGTGAGTGGTGTTCATTACAATGCTGTTGTATTTCATGTATTCAAGTCTCTGTCCCAAGAATACAGCAGAAGGTGAAGTTGCTATCGACTTGAACCACTCTGCTCTTTGGGTAAACCTGTGGATGTGATGATGAGGCTATCCCTGTAGAAAATAATAAGGTTACTGATTTGAATGACCAACATTGTGTGTCTGTGTGTGTGTCTGTGTGCGTGTCTGTGTGCGTGTCTGTGTGCGTGTGTGTGTGTGTGTGACGTGAAATACAAACACTAACCAGTGATGTTCTGTAGGGGCTCCATTGACTGGTGTAGTTCTGGTATCAGGAGCGGAGCCTGACTGAGTGGGCGGTGCACTCTAGGGGTAAAGCAGAGGTCCAATTAGAGTGATGTTTACTGCCAACCTGGTCTGGTGTGACATCCACAGCTTCCTGAGGACACCCACACCCACAACCAGTCACTGGTACTATACTTACTACTATATAATAACCTTGCAATAGCATCCAGTTGTAATAAGAAGGTCCATTGTTGTAATGTGCATATTATTCCTTGATATAACAAACACTCACATTGTGTACTTCTTTCATATTGTGTGTTATGAGAACCTCCACATCATAAATCAGTTTGTCCGCTACTCTGGAGGAAGAAGGGTCATCTTCCCACGTTACAGAGATCCTCTGGTCTTTTAGGTCGTAATCCACCCTCACATTCATAGGTCCAGACAGCAGGACCCCTGGAGCTACATACAGTTGAAGTCGGAAGTTTACATATACCTTAGCCAAATACATTTAAAATCTGTTTTTCACAATTCCTGACATTTAATCCTAGTAAAAATTCCCTGTCTTAGGTCAGTTAGGATCACCACTTTATTTTAAGAATGTGAAATGTCCGAATAATAATAGAGAGAATGATTTATTTCAGCTTTTATTTCTTTCATCACATTCCCAGTGGGTCAGAAGTTTACATACACTCAATTAGTATTTGGTAGCGTTGCCTTTAAATTGTTTAACTTGGGTCAAACAAGCCTTCCACAAGCTTCCCACAATAAGTTGGGTAAATCTTGGCCCATTCCTCCTGACAGAGCTGGTGTAACTGAGTCAGGTTTGTAGGCCTCCTTGCTCGCACACACTTTTTCAGTTCTGCCCACACATTTTCTATAGGATTGAGGTCAGGGCTTTGTGATGGCCACTCCAATACCTTGACTTTGTTGTCCTTAAGCCATTTTTCCACAACTTTGGAAGTATGCTTGGGGTCATTGTCCATTTGGAAGACCCATTTGCAACCAAGCTTTAACTTCCTGACTGATGTCTTGAGATGTTGCTTCAATATATCCACATAATTTTCCTTCCACATGATGGCATCTATTTTGTGAAGTGCACCAGTCCCTCCTGCAGCAAAGCACCACCACAGCATGATGCTGCCACCCCCGTGCTTCACGGTTGGGATGGTGTTCTTCAGCTTGCAAGGTACCCCTTTTTTCCTTCTAACATAACGATGGTCATTATGGCCAAACAGTTCTGTTTTTGTTTCATCAGACCAGAGGACATTTCTCCAAAAAGTACGATCTTTGTCCCCATGTGCAGTTGCAAAGCATAGTCTGGCTTTTTTAATGGCAGTTTTGGAGCAGTGGCTTCTTCCTTGCTGAGCGGCCTTTTAGGTTATGTTGATATAGGACTCGTTTTACTGTGGATATAGATACTTTTGTACCTGTTTCCTCCAGCATCTTCACAAGGTCCTTTGCTGTTGTTCTGGGATTGATTTACACTTTTCGCACCAAAATACGTTCATCTCTAGGAGACAGAACGCGTCTCCTTCCTGAGCGGTATGACGGCTGCGTGGTCCCAATGGTGTTTATACTTGCGTACTATTGTTTGTACAGATGAACGTGGTACCTTCAGGCGTTTGGAAATTGCTCCCAAGGATGAACCAGACTTGTGGAGGTCTACAATATTTTTTCTGAGGTCTTGGCTGATTTCTTTTGATTTTCCCATGATGTCAAGCAAAGAGGCACTGAGTTTGAAGGTAGGCCTTGAAATACATCCACAGGTACACCTCCAATTGACTCAAATGATGTCAATTAGCCAATCAGAAGCTTCTAAAGCCATGACATCATTTTCTGGAATTTTCCAAGCTGTTTAAAGGCACAGTCAACTTAGTGAATGTAAACTTCTGACCCACTGGAATTGTGATACAGTGAATTATAAGTGACATAATCTGTCTGTAAACAATTGTTGGAAAAATTACTTGTGTCATGCACAAAGTAGATGTCCTAACCGACTTGCCAAAACTATAGTTTGTTAACAAGAAATTTGTGGAGTGGTTGAAAAACGAGTTTTAATGACTCCAACCTAAGTGTATGTAACGTAGCCGGCCGTGACCGGGAGACCCATGGGGCGGCGCACAATTGGCCCAGCGTCGTCCAGGGTAGGGGAGGGAATGGCCGGCAGGGATGTTGGTAGAGCATGGTGTTTGCAACGCCAGGGTTGTGGGTTCGATTCCCGCGGGGGGCCAGTATGAAAAATAAATACAAATATGTATGTACTCACTAACTGTAAGTCACTCTGGATAAGAGCGTCTGCTAAATGACTAAAATGTAAATGTAAACTTCCGACTTCAACTGTAGGTGTAGTCTCAAAATGCAATTCAACATGACATACAGTACTGTATCAGTCAAAAGTATTGTAATGATAAAATGATCAAGTTTCAGACTCACCATCCTGACAGTTTTGTTCTTGGATGTTTGAGAGGAAGAGTGAAGCCCATAGCAGGAAATCCAACATGTTACTCCAATAAGATATATTTTGGTGAGGTATTGGTTTATAGAGTCAGCCTCAGTAGTCTCTGGTCATTATAACATTGGTTTGCCCATACTGAGTTTTGTAACCTCAGAATTAAAATCTAAATTAAAGCGTGGTTCATTTAGGCTGGCCAAGATAGAATACTGCCTTACAAAGATACATCTTGGTAATGCTTTTGGAACTGGAGAGGGGAGGTGTTGCTAGAGGAGGTTTTTCTCCAGGCTGATTTCCATGCAACAGAGGACATTTTTCCTGGTGAGTAGTTTAGTGAAAACATTATGCAATACATGAAAACAGCCGAGAGTCATGGGCCAGACTGCATCTATTACACATAAACCACCCACAAGTTTACTCCCACACACTGGTTTTGGACAATCGATCAACTCTGTACCAAAATCAAAACTCAGTTGAAGACACATTGATACAATAAAATACAGTGACATATAGGTGAGTACGGTAGATGATATGTTTTTATTATCAATGCATCCCTTTAATAAGATTGATTCTAATGGCCAATATAATGCCAAAAACATACAGGGTTCTGTACAAGGAAAACCACAAATTGGGGGAAAAAAACACAGACTTATATACAGCTTCATGAAAATGTTTTATCTTGAGGAAAAATATAAATAACACTTCTCTTATCTTTGTCTCTCTGTTCCTAAACGGTCCAGGTACATAATAAAGGCTTTGTTTTCACATCCCCATACAGTGATTTATCAGCATAAGTCCACTTCAAATCACTCAAATGTACACAAAAGTTAAATATTTAAGTTACTACTTCCTGTTGTTTCAAACAATTGCTAGATAACAAATCTTTATTGGCTTTTCAGTTTGGCTTTTCCAACAGAAAGTAGTACAATTATGTTCCCAAATAATTTACCTTATTCAATATATATCTGAAACATCAGTATTATGTAAATGGGTCTACTATGAAATGTAGACTTGATAAAAAACTAAAATTCTACCACTATTTAGAAGTTTGCAGTTTGTTGAAAAGGTGAGCTGAGTCCTCTTAGAATGCAAAAGTGCAAAATAAGGTTATATGAAGGAATAGTGGAATCTGCAATATTAAATATCCCCATTTCTTTTTTATTTAGTATAGTGATCCACCATGCACATTGTGGGCTGCAACTATACAATTCTCTGCTCGCAGAGGACTTATCTTTTCAACATTACACATTTATACAGAGGACTATTTTCTGTAGTAAATGTATACTTAGTTAATGTTGATTGCTCAGTGCAATTGCAGTGCACCCCAATCCTCTTTTCACCAGTCCATTCCTCTAACCAATTCATCACTTAACCAAGGCCATTTTCAACAGTAGGCCTAAACATTTCCATTGTGTCATAATAGTCATAAGTGCATGTTGTTGTTGAAGGATTCAGTGCAGCAAGTACCATCTTCATTCAAAGTGAATCATGTTCTCACAGCAGTTTGGAAATGACCACACAATGTTAACCACCACTTCTTTAAAACATTAATGAAATAAAATGTCTACAACTAATTCCCGAAACCAGCCAAGCTCACCTCAGCACTCCAAAACCAAGCAGGTGCTATTGGCAGGCTCTTCCCTCTACAATAGATAGATTGTGGTCTTAACATTGTTTGCTTATTATTTCACATCCTATTTATCAGTTAATTTGTCTTAGATCTATAATTAGGGCCAGAAGGATTTGCTTCTAATACAAATTGAAAAGACAATGTCATTCCAGCAGCCTAAACAAAATTCAAACAAAAGCTGAAAAAGTATCAAATCAGTTAACCTATACATGTACATTTGGGCTCACAATTAACAGGCATCTTGCATAGCAAAACCCCCCAGTACAATCCCATAATGACATTTTTAAGACTGTTTAAAACAGTCATTTTATAAACATGTAGCTAGATTTCTAGACTACGACCCCAGAAGTGGCTGTTGTTGGATGAGAGTTTTCAAATGAAATGAGTGTTCTTATTGGACATGTTTAGGCAGTACCTGAGCTCCACTTCAAAACGTTTGCTCCAGTTTCATTAGTCCCCAGTTTTACCGGATTGAGAACAAGCAGACAGCGACTCCCAAGGACGCTGTCTAAGGAAGGCAACTAACACAGGAATGAATGGCAACTGACTGAGAAATGGAAACTGACAGGAATGGCTACTGACTGTGGAATGGCAACTGACTTCTGCCCATTACTGAAGCAGCAACACTCCTTGGCCATCAAATAGTGACTATTTTCATGAACCATGTTCTGAAGAAATTCATGGCAGAAAGGGTTGCAGTCAAGCATGTGTTAACATGAATACCTAACAAACGGTACCATACATGTCTTCTTCCACCGTGATGAGCACCAAATCTTGTTTCAACCCTGCGCTTTTACTTTAGGGTTTAAATTGCTAGGTCGTAAACAAAAATAAAACAATAATAAATGCAGCCGTAGTTTCAAACATCAGTTCAGTAACTGACCGTTAATAACTCCTCTGTGCTGAAACACACAGACAGATGTTCAATGGAAATGATTTGGTAAATTTCACTCCTACATGTAGTTGTTCAGTTCTTAATATATATGCTTAAAAACACAGACAAACAAAAAACCTAAACATAACAACAAAACAAAATCCAGCAAAGGGCAAGGAGGAACATTTCCTCTTTAGCACGTCAACAAACAACAGAGACAACCACCAAACTGCATCAGTGACTGATGATCGTTTGGCTTACCTGTATCTGCCGTCATTAAATAGAGCAATACCAAAAGCCTTTTCATCACTATTCTCCTTCACTGTTCTTTGTTCAGGTGTAATGATTAGACATATGGATTTTCATAATGGCATGGACCTCTCTCCAGATGCAGAGAGGTTTTAGTGTTAAGCAGAGGAACCCTCCTCTTTAGTGTTTTAGTCAAAGTCAATGGATCCACTTTGGGAGAAGCCAAGCTAAAAACAACATGCTGTGGTATTTCACACCAGTGGTTGGGATGCAGTCATATACTAAGAAAAACTGAGGAAGCCCTCAGGAATGGACTGTTTTAAGCTTTTGTTTTATGCCATTTGGATTTGATTGTGATCCAAGTTCAGTTTGTGATGAATTTCCCAAAATGAGCTTTGTTAAAAACGCTCACAGCTGGCTGTCATCATTTGATCAGATAGAAAATTGAATATTTGTTCATCCTGCGTTATCCATCCATCATATCTCAAACTAAGTCAATAGGAAGAACCTATTTATTCCCTCCTTCTCCATATTTTCTCTATTCTTTGTCCAAATCCCAGGAGGACATACAGTGAGAGCACTCTGGTACGGAGAGGTAAGGGAGTACATGGGGTGGAAGGTGACTCAGGCCCTACAGAGCTGTGGTTGGTAGTGACTCAAGGGTCTGTGGTTCAGGGGTTAGGGTTGTCTCACAAGTCAGGGGTCAGGGGTCAGGGGTGGGGGTTGAGTGAAGTTTGAGGGGTATAAAGTCCAAGGTTCAGGGGGTTGGGGGTTGAGGTTTGATGGTTAACTGAAGGTTCCGTGGGTGGAGGTTGAGGGTTAACTGAAGGTTCCAGGGGTGGGGGTTGAGGTTTGAGGGTTAACTGAAGGTTCCGTGGGTGGAGGTTGAGGGTTAACTGAAGGTTCCAGGGGTGGGGGTTGAGGTTTGAGGGTTAACTGAAGGTTCCGGGGGTTGAGGTTTGAAGGGTTAAGTGCAGGTCCCGGGGGTGGGGTTGGGGTTTGATTCAGGCTTTAGGGGTTGTGGTTGACTGGAAGATCAGTAGTGGTGACTCAGGGTTTGACTGGCTGAGAGATGGAAGGGAAGGGCAGTAGGGATGACTCAGGGCTCAGGTGGAGGGTCGGCTGGTCCGTTCTTTGGCAGCTTGGAGAGGATGCTCTCTGCCTCTTCGTACATCTGAGGAAGAGACAGAAGTGAATAGAAGAACAGCCAACATGCATTGTTTATTATTTATGAATGTGTGTGTTGTTTACCGGAATGAATGGCACGTCTTGGAAGAGCTCCTGGATGAAGCGGCGTGCGGACAGACGGAACATGCAGTGGGCCAGCAGGTAAGACACCTCAGAGTAGAGACAGATGTCATCGAATGCATAGGGGAACTTCTCCTTGATCCTGTCAAGACAACACACACAGCCAGGGATATCAACCTCAGTTTGAGTGTGTCTATATGTGTGTGTGTGTGTGTGTATGTGTGTGTGTGTGTGTGTGTGTCTTACGTTAGCAGGTTCGTCTCATGGCCTTTGGTCCCCACAGAGGAGCTGAGGTTGACCACGAGACGCAGGACCTCCTTCCTGAGGAGAACCCTGCCGGCCGGAGATTCCTCTGGGATGGACTTCACTCCTGAGGGGGGAGAGAGACCACAGAGAGCCAGTAGGGTTAGTCCATCCCTCCTCAACAACAAAAGAAAACCCTTCGCTTGGAGAAAAGCATTGTATGAGAGAAAATGAAAACATGACATTTACCCAAAACCAGTTCAGTGCTGCGGATGCTTCCTGGGGAGCCCTGGGACACAGCATCACTGCACCCGGACACTCCTGACAGTTTGGTTTGGCCCATGACCTCCAGGTGGTTCTGCACAGGCGGATCGCACCACTCTGAGAAAGGGGGTTCCTCCGTCAAGTCTGATGGAGAAAGGTGAGTTTAATTAAGTGGTTTATTGGTTGCTGACTGCTAATAATATAAACATACAAGGAAGTACAATGACGCAAAGGGCACGAATTGATAAACAGCACAATGTTCTGTTGTATGGTGTTTGTATCTGCCACTTACCTGGGCTGCTGTTGGAAGCGCTGAAGCCGAGCACAGAAAGCCCGGTGCAGTAGAGACAGTTGTCATCGTTGTGTTCCTGTAGACCAGTCTCCTCTGATCCCAGCAGCTTCTGCTGCTCCGCCCGGCTCACCCCCATCAGCTCGGTGATGCTCAGCTGGGAGCGAAGCACAGCATGCCGGGAGTGAGGGCTGGGGCCTGGGAGAAGGGGCACATATCCACATGATCATGCATTTCCCCTTTTTATTCAAACCGGTTGGTCCTGAGCGGGCCTACTGTATCAGTAGCAGAGTCATCATTACCCCTGTGCTAAACTCAGTGTTATACAACTTCTTACTGAAGAAAACAGATTGTGTTGGCCCCGGCCTGTTTCTTACCATCTGAGTCTCCAGAGAAGAATTTGGCAGATCTGTCCTCAGAGGGGGGCCCCTGGAAATTATGGTGTTGTTTCTTTTATCAGAACAAAATTAACACATTGCAGTAACACTCAACAGCTTTATCCAAATATATGATGGAGTTATGACACAAGTTTAAATAGAGGTCTTAAATAGATCATATTGGTAAACAACCTCTATTTCCTTAGTAGAGTGTAGAGTAGAAGTAAAATAAATGGATAGAGGGGGGGAAAGAGGGATGAGGGGGGGAAAGAGTGATGAGAGGGAAAGAGGGATGAGGGGGGAAAGAGGGATGAGGGGGGGAGGGGGAAAGAGTGATGAGGGGGAGGAAAAGAGGATGAGGGAGGGAAAAGAGGGATGAGGGGGGAAAGAGGATGGGGGGGGTGAAAGAGGGCAGTGAGGGGGGAAAAGAGGGATGAGGGGAGGAAAGAGGGATGGGGGGAAAGAGGATGAGGGGGGGAAAGAGTGATGGGGGGAAAGAGTGATGAGAGGCAAGAGGATGAGGGGGGAGGAAAGAGGGAGAGGGGGAAAGAGGGATGGGGGGAAAGAGGGATGGGGGGGAAAGAGGGATGAGGGGGGGGGAAAGAGGGATGGAGGGGGGGAAGAGGGATGAGGGGGGAAAGAGGGCTCAGTGCATCTGGGTTCAGAGAGAGGGGTCATACGATGGTCAGTACCTGGAACATGTTGTTGATGTCCACAGGCAGCGCCAGGCCGATGAAGTCATCAGAGCTGCCGTAGGTGGCGCTGGACAGCATGGATCTCACTGAGGAGGACCGCTGCAGAGTGCTCTGGCTGATGGGGCTCAGCAGATCCTCCTTGTCCAGGGAGGCAAAACTCAGAGCCTTCAGGAACCTGGAGATAAAAAGACATGCAGTGAGTTAGCAGGCAGGAAAGGTACACCTGCTCGTCGAACACCTCATTCCAAAATCATATTAGTTTGTAGGTCAAATCATTCGGATGCTACAGACGTTTTCGTGAGAACACCAATTTTCCGGTGTCTCATGTTCTGATAAACACTGTTGTAGCTCGGCCACCTTTCACCGCTATGCGATAGGCTGACATAGGCAGATAACTGGATTGAGACGCAGCCCATGCAAAAAAACAGATACACTATATATACAAAAGTATGTGGACACCCCTTCAAATTAGTGGATTTGGCTATTTCAGCCAGACCGTTGCTGACAGGTGTATAAAATCAAGCACACAGCCATGCAATCTCCACAGACAAACATTGGCAGTAGAATGGCCTTACTGAAGAGCACAGTGACTTTCAACGTGGCACCGTCATAGGATGGCACCTTTCCAACAAGTCAGTTTGTCAAATTTCTGCCCTGCTAAAGCTGCCCCGGTCAACTGTGAGTGCTGTTATTGTGAAGTGGAAACATCTAGGGGCAACAACGGCTCAGCCGCGAAGTGGTAGGCCACACAAGCTCACAGAACGAGACCGCCGAGTGCTGAAGCGTGTAAAAATTGTCTGTCCTCGGTTGCAACACTCACTACCGAGTTCCAAACTACCTTTGGAAGCAACGTCAGCACAAGAACTGTTCGTCGGGAGCTTCATGAAATGGGTTTCCATGGCCAGGCAGCTGCACACAAGCCTAAGATCACCATGCGCAATGCCAAGAGTCGGCTGGAGTGGTGTAAAGCTCGCCGTCATTGGACTCTGGAGCAGTGGAAACGCGTTCTCTGGAGTGATGAATCACGCTTCACCATCTGGCAGTCCGACGGACAAATCTGAGTTTGGCGGATGCCAGGAGAACGCTACTTGCCCCAATACAGAGTGCCAACTGTAAAGTTTGATGGAGAATGAATAATGGTCTGGGGCTGTTTTTCATGGTTCGGGCTAGGCCCCTTAGTTCCAGTGAAGGGAAATCTTAACGCTACAGCATACAATGACATTCTAGACGATTCTGTGCTTCCAACTTTGTGACAACAGTTTGGTGAAGGCCCTTTCCAAATGCTCTTGTGGTTGAATGGAAGCAAGTCCCCGCTCAACGTTCCAACATCTAGTGGAAAGCCTTCCCAGAAGAGTGGAGGCTGTTATAGCAGCAAATGGGGGACCAACTCCATATTAATGCCCATGATTTTGGAATGAGATGTTCGACAAGCAGGTGTCCACATACTTTTGGTCATATAGTGTCTCTAGTTTAAACTGACAGACTTTCATGGGGATTTTTTTATTACGTTACTTAGATTAATGCTCTGGTGCGTCAATAGACGTTTTTAAGAACATGATTCCGGGGATGGGATGATAAGCCTACTGAGAGAGTGGACGACAGAAATGTTGCTATGTTTACAAATGGAATGAGTAATGCTTTTTGGTTTCAACAAAGTTCCTGGTACGTTTAACACTCAATATTTCAGCAGATTACAGAACAAAACCTCATTGCAACTTGAATTCAAGCCAGAGCAGAGGTCAAACTCAGTTGATCTTGTCATCAAAGAATGAGGAGAATCTAAAGAGAAGAGTGGAGCAAGAACAGGAAGTAAAAGAACGGGCTGAGAAAGAGTATTCAGAGAAGTAGTACTGTAGTCATGGGAGATTCTAGAAAAGGAGTTCTTAAGGGAGTGTGTGTGTGGACAGGTACGAGTCAAGGGGGACAGAGTGAGTGGAGGCATATGTTTCAATGTGTGTGTGTGTTCATGTTACCACCGTGGGGTGAGTCTGGAGTCCAGGCTGCCAGTCTTCATGGTGATGGTATCAGTGAAGAGCACGTCTTTGGCTGGGGAGGCCAGAGCCTCGCTGTGGGACAGGGACGAGTGGATCCTCTGCTGCTGCAGCCTCTTCAGAGTAGCGTATCCCAGTGCATCACGCTGACTGGCGTACGTGTCACAGGAAGTGGCGTACTTCAGAGTGGCGTAGCCCAGCGCGTCGCGGGAGTTGGAGTACATGAGGCTGCAGTCTGTCAGGCCGCTCAGGGTGGTCAATGAGGGCGACTTGATTGACTGGGCGCGGCGGGGGAGGGTGTGGGAGGAGCCGGGGGGCACCAGGGAGGCAGAGCTGGACTTGGACAGGGAGGAGAGGTGGGTGGTGTGGGGCTGGGGCGTGAGGGAAGTCAGGGTCTGGATGGTCTTAGCGCTGATCACACTGTTGAGGCTGACACCGTCCGTGTCGATGGTGGAGGGCAGGGTCTCCCTGGAGGGGCTGGAGCTCATAGAGCTGATGCCGCTGGTGGTCGTGTCCGTGTTGAAGCTCTGACTGCGCGATTTAAACGGAGCTCCCCCGCCCCCTCCGGACGGGCCATCCCCAGCCAGGCGTTCCCGGCTAGTCTGCTCTCTCTGGTTCTCCCCCACCCCTGACCCTCCTACCCCCACTGACCGGCCTGGCAGCCTCCCCTCCCCCTCCCCATCTTCCTCGCCCTCCCCAAAGCTGGGGGTGCTGTCCTGGTTCTCAGAGGCCTTGCTGCCCACAATGGAAGTTTCTAGGTTGGCAGAGGGGCTTTTGGGCAGGTGGCCGTCATTATAGATTGGGAAGACATCTGAAGATCCAAAGGTGTAGCTGGGTTCAGTGACGGTGCGTTTGCGCCCCTGTTCCCCTTCCATCCCTCCTCCGTGGTCCCTGGTGGTGCCCTTGGGGTCACTGGTGCTGCGCAGCATCTTCCCGGAGAGCGACAGGGAGTGGAGGAGGTGGTTGCGGAAGCGGCTGGAGGCCAGGAGGGTGAAGGGGCTGCGGTCCTTGTACTTGGGTCTCATGTACATGGGAGGATCGTCCGACAGGTCACAGTTCTCCAGCCTCTCATCATCCATGATGTACATACCTGGAAATGACCACTCAAGGTTAACTCTTCGTAGTATGGAGTAAACATTTGGCGATACTGTACAGGTTAAAAATAAATGAATACCAGTTGTATTATGATGACTACAGACTGAAACTGGGCTGAGACTTACTGGGCTGTGTGGAGTCACTCTCGCTGTTGTGTCTAGAGCTGGTGGAGTCAGAGGCCAGGCTGAGGCTGGAGGGGACAGAGGACAGCAGGCTGGGAGGGTTGGGGGGGGGCTCCATGTCGTCTGGGACAACGGGCCACAGCGTCCGGCGGCTGTGTCTTACAGCATCCCAGCCGTGCTGCTTCAGCATGTCACAGCCCTGACGTGTCTTCGAGATCAGCCCCAACACGTACAGACACGTCCTACACAGAGACAGCAAACAGACATTACAGAGAGATCCTGGACAGAGATATAGTTTTCTTATGGGACAGCACAAGCATGCTGCTTCATTAGAAGCACCTTGAATATGAGTTTCAAATATCAATGTGTCTTACCCCCTGATGGAGAGGACCTCACAGTGCAGGGCCAGAACCACTATGTCAGGGATCACCCCCTCCTCCTGCAAGAGGTTCAACCCCCAGTTTGACGACCCTATGTTACCCTGGAAACAAACAGTTGAAAAACATTCATACTCATGTTATTATGAAAACTATTTAATGTGTGAATCTTATCAATAATTGGCACATAACTGTGGAACTCTGATGATGACAACAGATGTGGTAGTTAGTCATTCTCCATTATACTGACCAAGGCCCAAAGTGCTGCTTTTAGCTGTTTGATGCCCTCCCACTTGTCCAGCATTGGGGAACGGACAGTGTAGCTTAGGTCAGGAACCACATTCTGAAGAGAAGGAGGAAAAGAGTTTAAACCCATTGTGCTTGTATATGCTACTTGACTAGTGTAATAGTGAGTGGTTCAAGTAGCTGCAGTTACCTGGACTTCCAGTAGATGGCAGCCTGTCTTATCATGGACAAGCTGGCCATACAGATGCACAGGAAGATAAACATTTGGCCTCTGTAACCTTTGGTTGCTTCGGCGTACATAGTTGTCTCCGTCGACAGGCTTGCGGTACGTGGTTAGAGCCTCGTTAAGCTGCTCCTCTATCATGTCCACATACTTCAGGTTATAGTCCTGCAAAACACAGAATGATATAAAAACTCAAGAGTTTTCTATGCTTTCATGTGACAGCAAAAAGATGCAAATCATAATTCATGCCATTGTTTGGTTGAGTATAAATGTACCTTCTGCCATTTCTCTAGCTGCTTGGTGACGTAACCCCTCTCATTGAGGTAGGAGAAGCCCTTTGGAATGGACAAGAACCTGGAGATAAGAATCCCAGAGGTCAGAGACAAAGGGACCTAATACAGAAAAGCAAAAAATAGCTGAGTTTTCTCCCAGCAGCTTACCGTAGCAGCAGCAGGACCCCCTTGTCCCCCAGGTGAGTGAGAGCTGGCTTCATCTGGATCAGAGCATGGAGGTTTGCCTGGAGGAAAAAACACCACAGAGACACGTCAGCTAATACACTTCTGGAGTCAAAAGCTGCTGGACTAAACTAAAGTACAGACTGTAAGGTATAACAGTTCCCAGGGAACAGCACATAGCAAGGCACCACAACAGACACTCAGGCCCCTCATCCCTCACCTTGTCCTCACAGGCCTCGTCCAGTGTGTCCAGCGCCTCCATGGAGATGGTCTTGTTGCGGTCGTGGAGCTGGGTGACCAGAAGCTCGATGCCCCAGTTACTGAAGAACTCCACGTTGGCACGAAGCAGCACCCGCAGGTGTTTAGTGGCATACAACCTGCAGTTCTGTGGTACACCAAGAGGGCAGAAGAGGACAGGCTGTCACTCAAAAACACTAACATATGCTCCATTGAAAACACAACAAACCAAGTTGCTCATAAGTTTGCTTTCCAAACACCTGTGCAAGCTCCTCCGACCACCTCTATGAAACCAAGATTTATCCATTTGTGTGCGAATTCCATCTGTGTGTTTTCTCAGTGTTAGTGGTGGTGTTCTTACGTCAGTGGCAGCAGTGAGGATCTTGGACAGAATGACCCTGGACAGCCCGTCACGGCTGTAGTCCAGTATGGAGACAGTGAGTTTCAGCAGGTGGTCCTGATTCTTCAGAGTACAGATGTTCAACAGGCTAGTAGGAGAGCACAGGATACAGAGAATCAATGTACTGCTCAAGTACCATACACACTCCAACACAATGATTTGAGTGAAGATGAAGTGAGAGTGAAAGAGGACAAAGGAAATTCTCTCTGCAGCAGCTTAAAAAGGCATCGGGCACCTTTAAATGGGACAGATTCCAAGACATTAGGGATCTCCCAAGAGGTATGATCAGAGTACATGTTTGGAAAAACAGACTAGTGGACGGTGAGACTGACCACTGGAAGACACTGCACTTCTCCAGCATCTTGATCCCATGCGGGTGTGAGGAGAGAGTGCCCAGGAACAGGAAGTAGTGCTGGCTGAGAGTGGTGAGCAAGCCGTTGCTCTGGAGACTGCGGTCAGGCTTGAGCCCTGAGGAAGAGGAGAGCCACTGAACTATGTCCTTTATTAGGTCCTCCAGGTACGCCTGCCCATCCTGACACACAGACAAAGGTAATGTTGAAGAACTGTTGGACATTGATAGAGAGGTCACGTAAAGTCATGTAATTCAATATTTGATTATCAAAAGAGTTTCAATCAAAAGTTGTTTAACTTTGTGTACTGATCATTAATAAGTCTGGATAGTGAAATTATCCACTGTTGTGTGTAAATATCAGTAGTCTAATAGAGTTGTGCCTCATAGTAAACCCTCTCACCTCCTCAGACTCCAGGAGGAACTTGATGAACTGACATCCCACCACAGTGAGCTGCCTGGCCTTACTGTGGTCCAGCTCCAGGATGCCGTACAGCTTACTGCTGGGCTTATAGAAGAACAGCAGCCTGCGCACAAACCTGCAGAAACAGAACCCAGGGTCAGACAGAGAGAGAACCCAGGGTCAGACAGAGAGAGAACCCAGGGTCAGACAGAGAGAGAACCCAGGGTCAGACAGAGAGAGAACCCAGGGTCAGACAGAGAGAGAACCTTTGGTTTGCTATAGTTACAAACAGGAGGTGAACATTGTACTTACTTGTGCATTTGTTCATCTTTATTGCTCCGCAGGTTAACATTTGGCCACTACAGACGGGTAAAAATGAAGTTTTTTTTTTACTCCTTTGAACAAAAGACAGTACTGTAAAAGATACTGACTGGAATAAGTATTTATTGCAGTCCTGGTCCACTCACCTTCAATATTGTTGCGATGAGAACCCAATTCCAGTCCAGGTTTTCTTTGTGGTTGAGGATGTGGCTGTCTCTCAGGTTCATCATGAGAGCATCCTCAGTGTCCTGCAATGCAAACAAGGACAGCATTACAAATACCACTACAACAAATCCAAGAAGCTTGTGTTGCAACACAGTGGCATGGTTTGATATGTACCTTAATGACAAAGATATCTCTCTGTGGTCTAAAGTACTGGTCTCTACAGTAGTGAGAAGCCTTCGATTTGCAGATGATGTGGTCCAGGTACAGGCTGTTGGGTTTGGGTCCTCTCTTCTTCTTCTCATGGAAATGTTTCAGGTAGTTGACCGCTGCACTCGCCCGTCTGAATTTAAAAAAAAACAGCTGTTGTGTCAGTGTCCGTGTTAATAATACAAAATCCAATGTATTTTATGGGACTCTCTTGTAGCATATACATAGGGTGTACAAAACATTAGGAACACCTTCCTAATATTGAGTTGCACCCCTTTTGCCCTTAGAACAGCCTAAATTCGTCAGGGCATGGACTCTACAAGGGGTCGAAAGCGTTCCACAGGGATGCTGGCCCATGTTGACTCCAATGCTTCCCACAGTTGTGTCAAGTTGGCTGGATGTCCTTTGGGTGGTGGACCATTCTTGATACAAATGGGAAACTGTTGAGCGTGAAAAACCCAGCAACATTTAAGTTGTTTACACACTCAAAGCGGTGCGCCTGGCACCTACTACCATACCCCGTTCAAAGGCACTTAAATCTTTTGTCTTGCCCATTCACCCTCTGAATGGCACACATACACAATCCATGTCTCAATTGTCTCAAGACTTAAAAATCCTTCTTTAACCTGTTTCTTCCCATTCATCTACACTGATTAAAGTGACATCAATAAGGGATCATAGCTTTCACCTGGTCAGTCTATGTCATGGAAAGAGCATGTGTTTCTAATGTTTGTACACTCAGTGTACATTGTTTAATGAGGATTAGGTTAGAGAGTTTCATGTAACTAGTCATAGTCTTTTCTCCTGTCTGCGACAGAGTAAATTCCTCACAATGGTCCCCGTCTACAGTGACCCCAAGGAATGTCCTCAGTACTCTATGGTAAGTAGCTGTCACTCACAGTCTCTTCTCCTGAGCGATGTCGAAGGAGGCTGCCTTGTTGATGAGTGTGGGCAGACAGTGCAGGTGGTGGCTGTGGGAGTGGGGCAGGATGGTGTTGGCCTGGGAGGGAAACAAAAATAAACAGTTACAACAATAACACCTGGGACCATAAAAACTCATTAAAAACAAATGTGTCAAAAAGTCCTACAGCATATCCTCCTCTGGTCCAGTTCATTGACCTCACATAATGTTAACAGCTGAGCGAACAGTGAGTTGAGTTACCATGTGAAGCAGTTCTCCCAGTAGAATGGTGGCTCGCACAGAGATGGTGTCATCAGTGCTTGTGATAACCTCAACGAGACCCTGTTGAGAGGTACACAGGCTTTACACGACAGACAATAGTAGTTTGTGTGTGGGATCTTTAGGTACCAATATTGACAGATATGCAACTGCCCTATTTGGTTGAATATACACAAACGTATTGATCCTCTGATATTGATGACCATACCTCAAGAAGTCCACTCTTGATGAAGGCAGACAGTACCAACGCTAGGTAGTTATCCATTAAGTCAGGCCTGAGGGCAGTAAGAGAACAAATTGAGTTTATGCAGACAATGTCTAAATCAATCATGAGTTAAAGAGAGTTCAAATAAGTGATTGTTCTTACCTTGACCGAGCTCGATGTGGAAGGATAACTTTTGCTTCGGAAGCCACAAAGCCATCTGATAACCTCCAATTGTCTTGGAACCTACTAGGGTCTACAGGTGGAATATAGACAAGTATACTTTGTTACCTAATAATACATGGTACATGAGATATATGACAAGAAAAGAAAGGCTATTAACTTGAAAAGACACAAAAAGTGACATTGTACCCACCCACACTGACAAGTGCTTCCATAAAGTCTGCAGTCGCAACCGGCATGGGGAGCCGGAAGATATCATATATCACCTCTAATAAGCCTTTCTGTGGGAGGTCGAGAGGAACCAGGTTTACACCACACACTCTTAATAGAGACTTTATTAATCACTAATAAAAAATGTATAACATTTTGATGAGAAGTCAGAAAATAATGATAGTTTTAGGGTGTGCTCTACATTATTCCTACATTAAACTGAGTGACATTGTTATCTGCGTTATTGAGCACAACCATAAAGCAATCTTGAGGTAAACTTGAGGACACTGCATTCCCTTTCACCTCAGTTGTCAGGTGCTGATAATGTCTATTTGATGTTGTACTTACCCTTACTTCCATATTTGGTATACAGAGCAGGCCAATAAGAGACTGGATTCCAGAGTTGCCTGACTTGCACAGGTTAATGATGCCTGGAGTGAGAAGTAGACAGAGTAGGATCAGATAGGGACATCTTCATCCTATGTTTATACCACACCACTAATATCACGTAAAGAGCCATCAGGGTATATACACACTCAAACTCAGATATTATTGAATATGAAGGGGTAAAGTTTACCTGACCAGGAGCGAAAGGAAGCAACTATGGACATTTTACTGGCCAAGAATCGAGCCTCCCTGTCTTCCCTGGGGTGGACATCAGAATGCATGATTCAAATCCCCAAAATGATTCCAACAGTCAATACAACACTCCATAAAATACAGTGCATAGTACATAATTAAATATATTGCACTATCATCCACACTCACTTGAGCTGCCCCTCTGGCGTGTCTGCATTGTGTCTGTAGTGGAAGTCAGTGTAAGGGGCCAGGATTTGCTGTTAGAGAAACAGAAGAAGAAGAACAATCGCATTCAATGAGGAAATAATCAAATTCCTGTTTATGAATGCTGCTCTTTGTGTGCGAGAGTGTGTGTGTGTGTGTGTGTGTGTGTTGTCAGTACCTCGAGCTCCACATCCGAGCGCACATACTGGCGTGTGTGTGGGTGGTTGAGGAGGTGTAGGATGGTAGTGATGAGTGCCTCGTTCATGCGGCTCAGCTGACAGTCGATCACGTTCTTCAGAATGGTGCTGAGACCACCCCTCTGGGCTACCACCACAGGGTTCTTCAGAGCTGCAAAACAAAGGAATCACACAGGGTTTAACCAGAACATATAATTATAATTATAATAATATAATAACATCACATCACGTATGGTATAGATACGTTTGTGTGTGTTTGCTCTCTCACCCACCAAGTTCACAGATGATGGCGATACAGGCGCGTACCATGCGGTCTCGCTCCTGTAGCCCATCGTTGCCCACGGCAATGAGGGAGTTGGTGACAGACGAGGGGAAGAGCAGTGCATTCACAGTGATCATCTGTAGGGGGCAGCAGAGAGGGGACAGATCAGTGTCTCACACTCATCTCACATTGTAGTACTCCGGTGACAGAGGGATCTTTATTGTTTAACAAATAGACATATAACTGGTCATACCTCAACATCTTACTGAATTTAGTTAGGGAGAGGTTGGGGTGTCTCACCTTTCGCACCAGCCTGAGAGCCTGTGTCCTCTCCACCTCATTGCTTTGCTGGATGTCTATGCACCTGGAGAGGAAAATACACAATTAGTGGTTGAAAGGTTAAGTGGGCTCAACATTGGCATAAAACACACACACAGCATAGATGTAGCACTCACCTGGCGATCAGGTAGTCTACCTGAAGCCGGAGGACCTTCTGGAGAATAGCGCTGTCTCTGATCAGGTAGCGGAGAGCCCTCAGGCCTGCAGCTCGCACCTCCTTAGCCTCATTCAACAGTGCTAACCGGAGACTAGAAGAGGGGAAGGAAGTGGAGAGAGAGAGAAAGCGAGAGACAGAGAGAGAGAGAGAGAGAGAGAGAGAGAGAGAGAGACGAGAGCGAGAGCGAGAGAGAGAGAGAGAGAGAGAGAGAGACGAGAGAGAGAGAGAGAGGTAAAGTAGAATGAGGAACAATGAATCTGCACTTTATTTTTTGTATCATGGTATAGTAGAAACATCACAAAATCAACCCAGAGAAACTAGTACTGTACATGTAGCACTGGTGGAGATTAATTTCTCAAAAGACTCACCAAATGATGATCTCTTCATGTGTAAACCCAAGCTTCTCCTCTGAGTGGCCTACATTGCAGAGAAGCTGTAACAGATGTAGAAAATAAAAAAAACTCATAAGATCACATCCAAACACAAAGAATCAAACGTTACATACACTTAAAGGGATACTTCGGGATTTAGTCAGATTCACTTGTGGATACCATTGTTAGGTCTCTGTGTCCAGTATGAAGGAAGATAGAGGTAGTTTCGCGAGCCAATACTAACTAGCGTTAACTCAATGACTGGAAGTCTATGGGCATCTGATAGCATGTTAGCAGATACCATAGACTTCCAGTCATTGCGCTGACGCTAGTTAGCAATTGCGCTAGCGCTCGTTAGTAACTTCCTTCAAACTTCACACAGAGACATAAAAATGGTATCCGCAAGTTCATCTGACTCTGGAGAAGTAGATAAAGGGACTAATTGCCAAAATCCTGAAGTATCCCTTAATGTCTGCTGAGATGTTGCCCCACAAACCTTTATGAAGTTGTTCAGGTGACCGAGTTTGCGCATGTTGGAGACTCCTTGTTGCTTGGCAACATTCTGAAGGATTTCCCGAAGGTTGTCTGAAGGATCTGAAATGATACATCAAGGTCAATCAAGGTCAATAAGTGGTCAGTAAGTTTATTCACCAGGCTCAACTCTGTTCCAATACATTCCAGTAACAAAACACACTGTGTTCAGGTGAGACCTGCATGAGCGTGACAAAGCCTCATTAGTGAATGTGACCAGCAATAAACTGGAAACAGAAACACATTTGGGATCAGGGCACACCTAAATAAAAGGTACCCCCACCGAAAGAAGAGTTTGTAACAGCACACGACTGTAAAGTCTGGTGTAAATAAAAGTACCCACAGGTTCTATATCCATGGTAGGATGTTATTTGTAGGTCCCTGTGATGATTCAACAAATTGTACTATGTTGTTATTTCAACAAAACTACTTGGGATAACTGCAAAACATGCGTTTGAGGCAAATCTATTCAACTAAAATGCACAATGTTTGTCTGTTTGAAAACAACCATGCCATGTTTATTCTATCCTGAAGTGAAACAATTCTTCACTAGACTGAGCATAGCAATAAACAAATTAGAGCTATACATGATTAAAACATGACTCTTCTTCAATGGTCAGAATGTGCTATTCTATGCTTCAGACAAGTGACTTCAACTTTGGAGCATGAAGTGAATTAGTGTGAAGTGTCCCTGAGGAAATATAGGATATCACAGGGACAGAGTATTCCTGTAAAAAGGCCAGTTACATTTTCTCCCATGATGCAAAAACATAAACAATGCAATAAAGATCCTTAGTATTTGGATCATGATGATAAGGTAGGATAGTCCTAACTGCTGGCATTAAGCTTCAATACAAGGCATGGGCCTATTCTACAAAAATCAAGGAAGGGACTGGGACACATTTCTCTAGTTGAAAACCAATGCCAATGGCATTGAATTAGCATTGAATTGTAGCTATACAAGCCATATTCAGTAAGATAGAAACAATGAATGACATTAGCTAGAATGCTATCTATTTCGCATTCACTGTTAGCTATTGCTGCAAATCAGATGCATCAAAACAACAATGTGATGATCATGTTATGAATTACTGCTAACTATGCTAACTAGCTAAATGTAAATAAAGGGGAAACCATGTTAGTAACAAGGATTTTGTATGCAGATACATTAGGATTTTCGGCCATTTAGTAGCTAGCTAGCAGCATTTTAATCATAGGATAACTATCTACGATTCAATAAATGGGATGCTGACAATCCATGTTCCAATCTGATTCACCCACCTCTGGAAAGATCGAGTGGTACATGTTCCTCCCCACTGTCATTCCGACCTGTCAAAGCAAAGCAGACACAACAATCAATAAAGGATAGCAAGGAGAAAGCAACTAACAGGCACAAGGAAAGTTCAGCTTTGTGTTTTGGAGGGTTGCTAATCTCTGGTCCAGATTGAAATATCTCGTCTCACCTCGCATCCGAATGCTTCGGCTCGGACGGCCTCGGATGCTGACCGCCATCTTTCCAGAATCATTCAACACCGACCGGATCGGAATGAACAGGGATTATCGCGAGAGATTCCGCACTCATTGCCCCTCTCTCGCCCAACCACAGTTGTCTCATGAAGGATAATAGATTTTTGCAGCAAATGTATACATCTATGTGTTTTGCATCTGTGCTCTCTGTCTGCACCTTGCAATCCAGACATTTAATGTATTCATTATTTGAGGACAGTGTCGATTTATGACAGCCGGAATTCGGCAAGTTTTGCTTGTGTTTCTGTCTGGCCCATAATTCTCTCAAATTTCTTGTATGATTTTGGTATCTGGAAATGTGTCTCCTGTCCTACGTACAGCCAAAGAAGCAAGTTTACGTTTGGAAATTGTTAGGAGTACTTCCCTACTTCCACAGTGTGAGGCGACGTTGCGCCACTGAGGTATATTAACCATAGACTTAGATAGATATCGCATCATTGTATCTGTCGCATTATGGCGTCTGTGAGAGCAGGGCAGCGCCATCTCCATTTTGAAGTAATACATGTGATTATTTTACTACTTTTATGAGTCTCACAGGATGTATACATCTGAAGCATTCATTTAGAACTTCCACTCACCACCAAATATGGTGGTGAGAGGAAGTCCAGTGGCGGGCAGTGTGAGAAGATGGAGCTAGATGAAACTTGGCCGAAGTTCTGCAAATGTCTCTGTTCCCAAAACTAAAATATGTTATGAACAGAGTGCACACTTTTTTTTTTTGACTTGACCCTTTGCCAACAAAAAAATATATATAGTGTTGTTTAGAATGAATACAAGGGTGAGTTGCATGATTACATACAGGCACTTCACAGAGAAGGCATTCTCTAACAGAAATATGCAAATAATGCTAAAATGTGCCAAATAGGATCTGAAATCAAATCCAATCAAATGTTATTTGCCACATGTGCCAAATACAACAGGTGTAGACCTTACAGTGAAATGCTTACTTACAAGCCCTTAACCAACAATACAGATTTAAGAAAAGAAGAAGTGTTAAAAAAAAAAAGGAAGGATTACTTTATCCTATCCCAGGTGTTCCTTAAAATAGGTGGGGTTTCAAATGTCTCCGGAAGGTGGTGAGTGACTCCGCTGTCCTGGCGTCGTGAGGGAGCTTGTTCCACCATTGGGATGCCAGAGCAGCGAACAGTTTTGACTGGGCTGAGCGGGAACTGTGCTTCAGCAGAGGTAGGGGAGCCAGCAGGCCAGAAGTGGATGAACGCAATGCCCTCGTTTGGGTGTAGGGACTGATCAGAGCCTGAAGGTACGGAGGTGCCGTTCCCCTCACAGCTCTGTAGGCAAGCATCATGGTCTTGTAGCAGATGCGAGCTTCAACTGGAAGCCAGTGTAGTGTGCGGAGGAGCGGGGTGACGTGAGAGAACTTGGGAAGGTTGAACACCAGACGGGCTGCGGCATTCTGGATGAGTTGTAGGGGTTTAATGGCACAGTAGACATTGTTAATGTTGTAAATGGCTATTGTAGCTGGAAACTGCAGATTGTTTATGGAATATCTACATAGGCGTACAGAGGCCCATTATCAGCAACCATCAGTCCTGTGTTCCAATGGCACATTGTGTTTGCTAATCCAAGTTTATCATTTTAAAAGGCTAATTGATCATTAGAAAACCCTTTTGCAATTATGTTAGCACAGCTGAAAACTGTTGTGCTGATTAAAGAAGCAATAAAACTGGCCTTCTTGAGACTAGTTGAGTATCTGTAGCATCAGCAATTGTGGGTTCGATTACAGGCTCAAAATGGCCAGAAACAAATAACTTTCTTCTGAAACTCATCAGTCTATTCTTGTTCTGAGAAATGAAGGCTATTCCATGCGAGAAATTGCCAAGAAACTGAAGATCTCGTACAATGCTGTGTACTACTCCCTTCACAGAACAGCGCAAACTGCCTCTAACCAGAATAGAAAGAGGAGCAGGAGGCCCCGGTGCACAACTGAGCAAGAGGACAAATACATTAGAGTGTCTAGTTTGAGAAACAGGCGCCTCACAGGTCCTCAACTGGCAGCTTCATTAAATAGTACCCGCAAAACACCAGTCTCAACGTTAACAGTGAAGAGGCGACTCCGGGATGCTGACCTTCTAGGCAGAGTTGCAAAGAAAAAGCCATATCTCAGACTGGCCAATAAAAATAAAAGATTAAGATGGGCAGTCTGAGATATGGCAATGCAAATAGTCTGGGTAGCCATGATTAGCTGTTCAGGAGTCTTTTGGCTTGGGGGTAGAAGCTGTTAAGAAGCCTTTTGGACCTAGACTTGGTGCTCCGGTACTGCTTGCTGTGCGGTAGCAGAGAGAACAGTCTATGACTAGGGTGGCTGGAGTATTTGACAATTTTTAGGTCCTTCCTCTGACACCGCCTGGTATAGAGGTCCTGGATGGCAGGAAGCTTGGCCCCAGTGATGTACTAGGCCGTACCCACTACCCTCTGTAGTGCCTTGCGGTCGGAGGCCGAGCAGTTGCCATACCAGGCGGTTATGCAACCAGTCAGGATGCTCTCGATGGTGCAGCTGTATAACTTTTTGAGGATCTGAGGACCCATGCCAAATATTTTCAGTCTGCTGAGGGGGAATAGATTTTGTCATGCTCTCTTCACGACTGTCTTGGTGTGTTTGGACCATGATAGTTTGTTGGTGATGTGGACACTAAGGAACTTGAAGCTCTCAACCTGTTCCACTACAGCCCCGTCGATGAGAATGGGGGCGTGCTCAGTCCTCTTTTTTTTCCTTTAGTCCACAATCATCTCCTTAGTCTTGATCACGTTGAGGGAGAGGTTGTTATCCTGGCACCTCATGGCCAGGTCTCTGACCTCCTCCCTATAGGCTGTCTCATCGTTGTCGGTGATCAGGCCTACCACTGTTGTGTCGTCGGCAAACTTAATGATGGTGTTGGAGTCATGCCTGGCCATGCAGTCATGGGTGAACAGGGAGTACAGGAGGAGACTGAGCACACACCCCTGAGGGCCACCCGTGTTGAGGATCAGTGTGGCAGATGTGTTGTTACCTACCCTTACCACCTGGGGGCGGCCCATCAGGAAGTCCAGGATCCAGTTGCAGAGGGAGGTGTTTAGTCTCAGGGTCCTTAACTTAGTGATGAGCTTTGAGGGCACTATGGTGTTGAACGCTGAGCTGTAGTCAATGAATAGCATTCTCACGTAGGTGTTCCTCTTGTCCAGGTGGGAAAGGGCAGTCTGGAGTGCAATAGAGATTGCATCATCTGTGGATCTGTTGGGGTGGTATGCAAATTAGAGTGGGTCTAGGGTTTCTGCGATAATGGTGTTGATGTGAGCTAAGACCAGCCTTTCAAAGCACTTCATGGCTACAGACGTGAGTGCTACGGGTCAGTAGTCATTTAGGCAGGTTATCTTAGTGTCCTTGGGCACGGGGACTATGGTGGTCTGCTTGAAACATGTTGGTATTACAGACTCAGTCAGGGACATGTTGAAAATGTCGGTGAAGACACTTGCCAGTTGGTCAGCACATGCTCGGAGTACACGTCCTGGTAATCCGTCTGGCCCTGCGGCCTTGTGAATGTTGACCTGCCATTCCAGAGGGAGGGAGCTGTTAGCAGGTGGTAGTCTCTCACAGACCTTCACTCTGCTGCTGGCAAACCCCCCACATAAAAACAGAGTAACAGATGGATCCCCCATCATGGTGGATTACATTCCTAAAAGTCCCAGGCCTAAAAAAGATATACACTGCTCAAAAAAATAAAGGGAACACTTAAACAACACAATGTAACTCCAAGTCAATCACACTTCTGTGAAATCAAACTGTCCACTTAGGAAGCAACACTGATTGACAATACATTTCACATGCTGTTGTGCAAATGGAATAGACAACAGGTGGAAATTATAGGCAATTAGCAAGACACCCCCAATAAAGGACTGGTTTTGCATGTGGTGACCACAGTTCCTATGCTTCCTGGCTGATGTTTTGGTCACTTTTGAATGCTGGCGGTGCTTTCTCTCTAGTGGTAGCATGAGACAGAGTCTACAACCCACACAAGTGGCTCAGGTAGTGCAGCTCATCCAGGATGGCACATCAATGCGAGCTGTGGCAAGAAGGTTTGCTGTGTCTGTCAGCGTAGTGTCCAGAGAATGGAGGCGCTACCAAGAGACAGGCCAGTACATCAGGAGACGTGGAGGAGGCCGTAGGAGGGCAACAACCCAGCAGCAGGACTGCTACCTCCGCCTTTGTGCAAGGAGGAGCAGGAGGAGCACTGCCAGAGCCCTGCAAAATGACCTCCAGCAGGCCACAAATGTGCATGTGTCTGCTCAAACGGTCAGAAACAGACTCCATGAGGGTGGTATGAGGGCCCGACGTCCACAGGTGGGGGTTGTGCTTACAGCCCAACACCGTGCAGGATGTTTGGCATTTGCCAGAGAACACCAAGATTGGCAAATTCGCCACTGGCGCCCTGTGCTCTTCACAGATGAAAGCAGGTTCACACTGAGCACGTGACAGACGTGACAGAGTCTGGAGACGCCGTGGAGAACGTTCTGCTGCCTGCAACATCCTCCAGCATGACCGGTTTGGCGGTGGGTCAGTCATGGTGTGGGGTGGCATTTCTTTGGGGGGCCGCACAGCCCTCCATGTGCTCGCCAGAGGTAGCCTGACTGCCATTAGGTACCGAGATGAGATCCTCAGACCCCTTGTGAGACCATATGCTGGTGCGGTTGGCCCTGGGTTCCTCCTAATGCAAGACAATGCTAGACCTCATGTGGCTGGAGTGTGTCAGCAGTTCCTGCAAGAGGAAGGCATTGATGCTATGGACTGGCCCGCCCGTTCCCCAGACCTGAATCCAATTGAGCACATCTGGGACATCGTGTCTCGCTCCATCCACCAACGCCCAGGAGTTGGCGGATGCTTTAGTCCAGGTCTGGGAGGAGATCCCTCAGGAGACCATCCGCCACCTCATCAGGAGCATGCCCAGGCATTGTAGGGAGGTCATACAGGCACGTGGAGGCCACACACACTACTGAGCCTCATTTTGACTTGTTTAAAGGACATTACATCAAAGTTGGATCAGCCTGTAGTGTGGTTTTCCACTTTAATTTTGAGGGTGACTCCAAATCCAGACCTCCATGGGTTGATAAATTTGATTTCCATTGATAATTTTTGTGTGATTTTGTTGTCAGCACATTCAACTATGTAAAGAAAAAAGTATTTAATAAGATTATTTCATTCATTCAGATCTAGGATGTGTTATTTTAGTGTTCCCTTTATTTTTTTGAGCAGTGCTCTCACTAACTGTAAATCGCTCTGGATAAGAGCTTCTGCTAAATGTCTAAAATGTTAAATAAAATGCTACTTCAAAATGGTGAAAGCCCTCAATGGCGCTGTCCATGCTAAAATTGGCTTTTGGGCACCAGAGTCCTCTATCAATTCAATTTAAGGGCTTTATTGGCATGGGAAACATATGTTTACATTGTTATAGCAAGTGAAATAGATAAACCAAAGTGAAATAAACAATACAAAAATTAACAGTAAACATTACACTCATAAAAGTTTCAGAAGAATAAAGACATTTCTATCTATCTCTATGATTTGAACGTGGTGAGCTCTTGATCCTTTAGTCGTCTCATTAAAGAATTGAGTTTTTCGATTAAAAGGAAACGCGGTGGACCGGTCTATGGCCCGTGACGTGTACGGCAAAAGCGGTGAGGGGAGGAGCGCACTTCTCAAATCGAACTTTAATCTGCGCCGCTTGGTAATGTTGTCAACAAGGCAATATGGTGCATCGTTCAGAAACATACATATCTTTTCAGTACAATTATATGTTCGACTTTTCAAACTAGTTTTCATTGGGAAGGCAGATAAAGCGTTTTTATAAAAAGCAATCACTTTTGCATTTGAAAACACAGAATCCTACACATTACTCCATGTGCTTAAAGTACGTTACTTTTGTTTTGAGCCGACTCTGGTTCACGCCCGGGAGGCAGCCCAATGTTCCAAAACGAATGCTATCATTTTTCACCCAATGTAAACTCTTACCACAGCGGCAACCCGGGCCAGGTAAACGGATCTCCTAATGTTATAAAGAAGATTTGTCCAAGAGGAAGTTTGCGTCACTTCCTCTTGCGCGAAGATTTTGAGCCAATCACAGAACGCTGCAGAGCTAAGGGCGGGTGATCACGCGGGATGTTTAAACAGTCCGGTTTTGGTTCAGAGGAGTAAAGTTGGCCGGTTACTTTTTTGTATAGATTTATAACACTGATTTTTTTAGGTTGTCTATTTCAGCAAATACCCGGGGAGATGTCACACGACAGGTATGTTTTAAAAATTCACAACCATTTTTTGATTTTGGAGCTATTGATTGCATTGTGTGGGTGGGCGCCTTCTAGAATGCAGTGTGAATCGTTCCAGATTGCACTTCCCCAACATATCCTTACTAGGCATATTTGGTCGATTTATCGTGCTATGCAAGCCTAAAATTAAAATAGTAATTATTTATTTTAATTACCATGATGAGGGTACAAGTACAGTTCGAGCAAATAATACCACAAATGCATTTGCAGCCGAGGAATCGAAACCGCGCGCGTTCAACACAGGGAGGTGTCTAGCACGTCAGCATTCGATAATTTATACATAATAAAACACTTTTATTGCTAGGAAGTAGGAACACTAGCTAATGTATTAGTTGTATTGCATACATACCTATCTATTTAAACGTGTCTTTGTTGGTGTGATATGGCGCGATCTTTTTGGAGATTACTCAAATGGAACGCCCGCAAACATTATGGCGGGGCATCCATTGTAGCTAACTAACGTTAACTAACTTGGCTAGTTAATCATGTAACGATGGGAATTAAAAGCTGTGCATGTTTTAGTTACTACATCAGTCGTTACATCCCGGGTAGTACAGCATACATACATACACACACACACACACACAATGATTGTCCGTTTGTCTCATTGTCCCCCTTTTTTTTGTATCAGGCCTCTGCAGGAGTTGCCCTGCCTGAATGACTATTTGGAGGGATCTATGCTGTCCCTATCCCAGAAGAGCAAACGGAAAAAGAGACAGTGCTTCGGAGACGGTCTGGACACGGAGAACACCCCTCACGAACTCATTCAGCAGTGGTCACCACCTCACAAGCAGCGGGTGGTCTGCAAGGGCAAAGAGAACGAGGAGAACCAGTTTGTGCTTGCCAGACGACCAAGGAAAAGGAGGGAGTTCTCAGGTGTGTATAGATGTACATGTGTTGGGAGGAATACAATAAGCTCAGAAGAACACTAGCTAGCTACTTGTAGAAATAGACATGGAATTATTATGTTTCAGAGAAGTCCATTTAAAAAAAGTTAATAATTGATGTTGTTTCTATGACAGGTGTGTCCTGGGACAGTCTCCCAGATGAGTTACTGTTGGGGATCCTTTCCTGCCTTCCCCTGCAGGACCTCCTCAGGATGTCCAGAGTCTGCAAGCGCTGGCATCGCTTGGCGTAAGTCTGGGACCACTCAATCATGCTTGTAAACTACTTACAGTCCCATGTGGCTCAGTTGGTAGAACATGGTGCTTGCAATGCCAGGGTTGTGGGTTCGATTCCCACGGGGGACCAGTATTGAAAAGTAAAAAAAAATGATGCACTCACTGCTGTATGTCACTCTGGATAAGAGCAACTGCTAAATTACTAAAATGTAATACTACATTGCATTATTTCTGCATGATAAATCTTAGATATCACACTAGCGCTTTCCTAACGCAGTCAAATGGATCAACAAAACCTGTAATTAAGTCTCTGCATGTCTTTGTGCCTGGCAGGTTTGATGAGTCTTTGTGGCATAGTGTGGATCTTGTAGGGAACCCCCAGCTGGATCAAGCTCTTGGGCAGGTGCTTATGGCTGGAGTACTGGGACTGCGCTGCCCCCGTACCTGCATTGGAGAACCACATTTCACCCATACACAGTGAGTCCTCATACATACTCATGCCTATTATGGGGATACAGAGCTTTCTTTTCCAACTGTTGAAGGTGAACCCAGACAACCTATATGTTGTGGTGCTGTATGTCATGCCGTTCCCTCTTTTATTTCAGACACCTGCGTGTCCAGCACATGGATCTCTCCAGCTGCACTGTCTCAACCCAGTTTCTAGATGACATTATCTCCCGCTGCAGGCGGCTAGAGAATCTAAGCTTGGAGGGACTGGAGCTCTCTGACTGCATCATTCAGTGAGTAAAGAAGACAAATACTCTGTTGCAATGATAATCTGTCAAATGATGTACAGTTGTGGTCAAAAGTTTTGAGAATGACACAAATACTAATTTTCACAAAGTCTGCTGCCTCAGTTTTGATGATGGCAGTTTGCATATACTCCAGAATGTCATGAATAGTGATTAGATGAATTGCAATTAATTGCAAAGTCCCTCTTTGCCATGAAAATGAACTTAATCCCCCAAAAACCTTTCCACTGCATTTCAGCCCTGCCACAAAAGGACCAGCTGCAATCATGTCAGTGATTCTCTCGTTAACACAGCTGAGTGTTGATGAGGACAAGGCTGGAGATAACTCTGTCATGCTGATTGAGTTAGAATAACAGACTGGAATCTTTAAAAGGAGGGTGGTGCTTGAAATCATTGTTCTTCCTCTGTTAACCATGGTTACCTGCAAGGAAACACGTGCCGTCATCATTGCTTTGCACAAAAAGGGCTTCACAGGCAACGATATTGCTGCTAGTAAGATTGCACCTAAATCAACCATTTATCGGATCTTCAAGGAGAGAGGTTCAATTGTTGTGAAGAAGGCTTCAGGGCGCCCAAGAAAGTCCAGCAAGCGCCAGGACCGTCTATTAAAGTTGATTCACCTGCGGGATCGGGGCACAACCAGTACAGAGCTTGCTCAGGAATGGCAGCAGGAAGGTGTGAGTGCATCTGCACGCATAGTGAGGCGAATACTTTTGGAGGATGGCCTGGTGTCAAGAAGGGCAGCAAAGAAGCCACTTATATCCAGGAAAAACATCAGGGACAGACTGATATTCTGCAAAAGGTACAGGGATTGGACTGCTGAGGACTGGGGTAAAGTCATTTTCTCTGATGAATCCCCTTTCCGATTGTTTGGGGCTTCCAGAAAACACCTTTTCCGGAGAAGACAAGGTGAGCGCTACCATCCTGTGTCATGTCAGCAGTAAAGCATCCTGAGACCATTCATGTGTGGGGTTGCTTCTCAGCCAAGGGAGTGGGCTCACTCACAATTATGCCTAAGAACACAGCCATGAATAAAGAATGGTACCAACACATCCTCCGAGAGCAACTTCTCCCAACCATCCAAGAACAATTTGGTGATGACCAATGCCGTTTCCAGCATGATGGAGCACCTTGCCATAGGGCAAAAGTGATAACTAAGTGGCTTGGGGAACAAAACATCGACATTATGGGTCCATGTCCAGGAAACTCCCCAAACCTTAATCCCATTGAGAACTTGTGGTCGATCCTCAAGAGGCGGGTGGACAAACAAAAACCCACATTCTGACAAACTCCAAGCATTGATTATGCAAGAATGGGCTGCCATCAGTCAGGATGTGGCCCAGAAGTTAATTGACAGCATGCCAGGGCGGATTGCAGAGGCCTTCAAAAAGAAGGGTCAACACTGCAAATATTGACTCTTTGCGTAAACTTAATGTAATTGTCAATAAAAGCCTTTGACACTTATGGAATGTTTGTAATTATACTTCAGTATACCATAGTAACATCTGACAAAAATAACTAATGACACTGAAGCAGCGAACTTTGTGAAGACCAATACTTGTGTCATTCTCAAAACTTTTGACCACGACTGTAATGTACATGTTACCAGCCATTTTAAACAACATTTGGCATGATTCTCAACATTGTTACTCTACAGGTCCCTATCCCAGAATACTGAGCTGGTACGGCTCAACCTGTGTGGCTGCTCTGGCTTCTCACCTGACTCGCTTGGTGAGATGCTGAAATCCTGCTCACGGTAAGCTTGGAGTCTGTCAATTTTGTATTTCTGTTTTGTTTGATTCTTTTGAATGTGTTTGAAGCCCTATGTCTAAGTATTTCTGAATGACAGCATAATCAATTTATTTAATTCACTGTTTAAACCACCTGTGCATTGGTAAACTAATGCAGAACTTTCCCTTTTTTCCATTCCTACACCAAGGCTTGAAGAGCTGAACTTGTCATGGTGTGACTTCAGTACTGATCATGTGAAGGCTGTTGTCAGGAACATCCCCTCCAATATCACCCAGCTCAACCTTAGTGGCTACAGACAGAACCTTACTATGGAAGGTGAGGAAGCCTGTGGCATTTAACATTTTCCCTCAGCCCATATTTGTTTTGAATGTTTAAATATCTCTATTGATGATGAGTTAAACTTAACAATGGCCTCTTTTCAGATGTGAAAGACTTTGTGGAGAGATGTCCTCACCTCGTAAATCTGGATTTAAGGTGAGGAATTCCTAACGCTGGGCTGAAATGTGGATCCAGATGATTGTGATGTGATTTGACATGGATACTGTGCAACTACTGTGTTTTTCTATCCCATAATCTCTTTATGATAACTGACTGTATTTGTGTTACAGTGACAGTGTTCTGATGACGACCTCAAGTTTCCCCATCCTCCAGCAGCTGCAGTCTCTTAGACACTTAGCATTGAGCCGTTGCTACCAGATCCACCCTGCTGCCTTAGCGTACGTTACTTTTTATATATATATATTTGTATATAAAGATGTGATAACAGGAATGCTTTAGCCTTGTTTCTCTTCTTATATGCCAATTTTCCTCCTTATCCATTGTTCAGTACTGACTAAACCTGTTGTTTATTTCAGTGACTTTGAGAAGTTTCCGGAGCTGCAGACGTTGGAGGTGTACGGGCTGGTCCAGGACACCTACCTGCCAATCTTGAGTAAAAGTTTGCCCCGTCTCCAAATAAACACCCGGCCGTTCTCAGGCGTGGCCCGTCCCACCGAGGCCAACCGGCGGGACCGCACCATGTGGGGTATGACCTGTCGCCTGGTGTTCAGGTCCTAGTCACAACGCCTTCCTAATGCTGTCATTAACATGTCATAACTTATTTCTGTCTGATGCAGTCATTCTATTGGAGGAATATAAGCTATTTTTTTTGTGTCAGCCATTGTGTGTATGCATATTGCATTGAGCCGTACACAATTTGTGGTACACTGACACCAATTGTTCTAACTGCTGACGAAGATTTCTGTTTTGTTGTGCTTTTGTCAACACTTATTTTGGTTTTATAATGGTAGGCATTGGTTCTAAGTTACTCTAGTAATAAGCTCAGTAATAGGACATGGCCTTCGGATGCACAGTAGTGGGAATTGGATATGCTGGTAAATTGCATTTCTCCACAGTAATGCTGCTTGAATAACATGCAACTGAATTCTTAAGATTTTAAAAGGGTAGCTGTTTTAGACATTTTAACCCTGATAATGTTGAAGACATCTTGTAGTTGTAAGGGAAATGCCATTTTTCTTTTTTTTCTTGATATAATAATACATTCTGATTATAGGATACATTATCAGGATCCTATGATCTGTCCAATATGTTGACTTTCAAACATTCCAAAGATGGATCTGTTTGAAAAAAGGTCTGTAGTAAAACTTGGCAAACAAAAAAAAAAATATCTTGATAACGTTGGTTCGTTCTGTAATGTTTCACTAGCTGGATATAGGAACATTAATTCCAGTTTATGCCTATCAACTGGAATCGGGGTTTGCCAGAAAGACAAGCTAGGAAGATTGGTCTGTTAGACTAATGCATGGGTGCTCTACCATTGCAGCAGTTTAAATCTGTGTCTCGTGATGCAATGATTTAGAATTCCCTCTTCAGTGTTTTATAAAAAAAAAATTCAATCTGCATTTTAAGGGCCAGTTTTAACAATGGTGCCAATTACTTGATCAATCTGTTTTGTATTTTAAAGTTGAAGGAGTTATTAATAAGAAATCAATGAAGTCACGCTGTTCATGTTACATCAATCTCTATATCCGTTTGACTGAATGAAAGCCGAGGCGGCCATAACATAGAAAAGGCTAGAGCTGTTGGCATTTTTGTGGAAATTAACATTTTAATCTTGTCCCTAAATTAGGTACGAAATGAGAATGTGCACTACACCTATAATGTAAATGGTTGCCTTGGCTACAAGGGGGCAGTAGTTATGTCTCGGAGCAATGTTTGGTCTGGTTCCTGTTCATGCTCACATTTGTGAGATGTTTGAGAAACGTACGTTTTCTATTCATGCATTTACAAATAACATTTACTATGTTAGAAAATACTAAAATGTGACACTTGCCAATTTTATGTAAATAAATGTTAGTAATGTGATCATGTTGATGTGGGTTGAGAGAAATTTGACAACCTTTGATTTCATACCATTTAATAATCACAGTTTCATGACCTGGCACCATAAACATCAGTTATGTCACTTCAGCTGTAGAACTAGAACCACAAGGTATCCCATATACAGTTTACATGTCAGAATTCACTACACAATAGGGATTTACAGTTACATTGCCCCCTTCTGCATATTAATCTTATTACAATGTGTAAATTACAAATAACCATTCATGTTAACTCCAGGTTGTTTTCCAAGTGACCCCACAGCGAAGGCTGGAAGCAACTTTTTTTTTTGTTACGCCGTTTCCTAAATTGTCAGTGTCAGATTGGCCCAGGCGCATACTGTTCTTGTTTTGTCAAAGTTGAGATGAGGCCCTGGCCTGTTGGGAGCAATACAATGACTTTGGTTTTTCATATTGCCCTCAATCTCCAATCTGTGGTTGAAGCCAAGCAGCTCAAAAGTGCTATAAAAAATCTAAAATCAGCAACATAGAATACAATTTAGTGTAATTTTTTCACCAATACCACATTGTGCTATCAACATTCTTTCCAATAGGAATTGGCACCGTTTAAAAATAAAACTACTTTAATATAATTACACAAATGAAACTGATGGCAGAGCAGACTGTTTAAAATCCTCTTCAGTCAGGTAATGTGTTACAGAAACAAAGAAATGTACCTCATCCTCAGATGTAAAGGTAAGCATTTCACATGGCGAAATCCCTGGGCATTAAACACTACTCCAGCAGGGAGGGTACAGACTACATATCACCTGAAAAAGGACACATTTACAGCAATTTAAAATGATACTTTTCTAGAATAAAAAAAGCCCAGTAAGTCAACCATTGTTATGTGGGTTTGCTCTGTCCTTCAGTTTGACCTGATATCTTGATGGGGTAGTGTTTGGCAACGGTAAATGTCAGAAGCAAGTTCGGAAACTACTCACAGCATCCTGACAATTACTTTACAGTCTCATGTACCTAAAATGAAATCATGCTTAAGCAAACTCAACTTGGGAAACTAACAGTCTAATGGAGCAAGATGTAGAACAATACCAGGCTGCTGTAAGTAATTGTATCGTGAAAAAGTAACAACTACTGGATAACTACACATTTCTGCTGGCACGGTAAGGTTGTGAAAATAATGGGTATATCAAATCAAGACAAGCGCTTGACTTTGGCAGCTGAGTAACAGCACCTCATGTTTTCTACTGCTTGGGCTCCTGTTCCTCTTATAAAATATTTGCTCAAAAGTATTGTGGTACTCTTGCCCCTAAATTTAAAACAGCACTGGCAACCAAAATGAGTACCAGCACCTATTTCAGTCCAAGTCAAGCGAAATAAAACCCAACTGTAACCGATTCAGCCAAACCAATGCAAAAGCCAAGAACACGTGACTAAATGGTCTGTGAAAATCCAGAAAGCTACAAGGGGAGGATGTGATAAGTTTCTTCAAGTTCATTTTGAGGTCACAGGTCCTAATAAGAGACCAGTCCTGTCTCCCTACTCCCTTTATAGATCACTGCTGCTGACAATCTTGTGTGAGCTCTGTAAGGATGGTTGGTTGGCTGGTCAGTTTTCAAGGAGAACAGTCCGGAGCTGGTCCTCCTCGTTCATGGTGATTGTTGCTATGGCACCATCGTTGAACTCAAAAGAAGTCCCTCCGTCCACCACCATGCACGCGTCCCAGCACCGCGAGCGCACACACACCCTGAAGAGCAAAACCAAGAAGATTTCAAAGTGTGATCTTGTACATCAAACCCCACTGCAAGACAATATGAATGGGTACTGTAGATAGAACTGACCTGTTGGCAAAACCTCTTTGGTGACTGCTGGAGAATACTCTGTTGACGATGGGCTCTCTGATGCTGAAGAACATTCTGCCTTCCTCCGGACCAAACACCAAAGACTCGTTGTATTCATCAGTCACTGACAAAATACATTACGAGATTCATATATATGAATTTTCCTTGAGCATCCATCCATCCATCCATACAACACATTCAGCTGTACATATTTTGGAACTCACCCTTCTCAATAAAGTCCTGACTCAGTGGAATATCAAGACCCGTTTGTGCCTTTCCTGGGGAGATTGAGAACTCAATCACTGTAATACCCTTATTATCAGTGTACTATGCAGGTTCTCCAAAATCATTGATTGATTGTCTCAATTTCCAGCTGTAATTCCATTTAGACAGATTTAACAAGAAAATAACAAATCCACATGATCATTGCTGTTCATGAGGAAAGGTTGGAGTCCACATACCTATCCTTAGGACATCTTCCACAGCCTGTTCAACCAGTTTGTTAATATTGTAAGACCTGTAGGTGAGAACACAAACTAGAATGAGTCTCATTAAGCGCACATTCAAGCCCTGGAGGACCACTAAAGGCTGTGCTTTCAATCACATCGTTTTTATTTATTGAGATTATTTTAGAACTAGCATGAATGAGACGCAGCATTGACAGGGATCTTCCAGGATCGGCAAAAAAATAAAAAGGCTTGTGTGTTGGAGCTTCGTATAAAAAAAGGGAACACTTGTCTTTTCCTACTAGCACTGACTTTACTGATAAATACTTTGTTGAGGAAAACAAATGTACTTACTATGACTGGGATATGTGGTTGTCTCACATACCTGTAGCTATCTTAAGATGAACGCACTAACTAAGTCGTTCTGGATAAGAGCATCTACTAAATGACTAAAATATACATGTAAAATGTGTACCAGGCTTTAGATCCGGTCCCTGTGCAGATGCTGAGGCCAGAGCTCTTCTGCTTCTCCCACGGTCTGTCGTCCACAGAGATCTCATAGTAGGAAGCCCTATTGAGCGAGAGGGTGAGATGGGGATTTATGGATTTACACTTCACCCTGTGAGTGGCGGACAGAAATCCACCAATGAGTGCATAGTGAGATGGGTGGGCGTGATAGTAGTGCAGGGGTAGGATTGATGAACAGCAAAACAGGCATGTTTTTTTTTTTGGGGGGGGGGGGGGTTCATGATGCCATGGCTTGGTTGGAGGACAAGGGTACCTTGAGGAAAGAGATTCCCCAATGAAGATCTCATTCAGTCCTCTGACAGGTAGTAGGTAGGGCTTGGATAAGCTGTCAACCTCACCTGTATCAAAGAAACAGATGAAATCATAGAGGGACCGGTAGAAAAGGGCTTTTTGACAAATCACATGAAAATAATTGTCAATGAATGACGACAGAGACTGTGAACACACACACACACCGCTGTAAGTAAGACAAGAAGACATATTATTCATTCAATACAGTGCACCGTCCATTCAATAAGTGTTAGATTTGTCCCAAGGGCCCAGACAGACAGACAGACAAAGAGACTGATACAGGTACACATCGGAGGCTGAGGGGCCGTACTGCGTTGGGCCTCCATGAGGGTGATACGGTGGGCCTGGTTGTGTTGCTCCAGACTGAGCTGCTGTTCATGTAGGTCCACTGGGGTGGGGTTGATCCCTGTGCCCTCCAGGTGTAGACGGATCCTATGCCGCCACTGCCACCTGCAGGAGGTAGACAGGAGAGGGGGGAGGGGTGGAGAGGGAATGGTGGAGGGGGGGATAGGAGAGGTGGGATGGGGAAGTAAATGAATCAAAAGAGTTAAGTAGTACAATATGCAGTAGACAGGGAGAGGAACATATAGAGAAAGAAGAGGGGGTGGTGAAACATGCCATGATATTAATAGGCATTACTATTCCTGGAATCAGAAACTCATGTCTGACAGTTCAGCAACAGTAACACTAGAGGGCAGAGTAGTAAGACCAGGGGTGTAATCATTACCGCGATTCTGGTGCAAAACATTTAGTCTGTTGCAAACGTTATGCAACAGAAACAGTTTACTGAAAACGCAAACGATAGTTTCTGTTGGACAAATTCAGCATTGTCCCTCCCCTTTTGGTTCCATTTGATCCGTTTGGTTCTTAAACGATAATCATTAGTCCAAAACATTTAGCAACGGAAACAAGAGTTTATATTAGACAAATTCAGGTAGGTCCCACCCTGTTTTGTTCCTAGTGAATACATCCCAGGCATGCGAAACAAAACTGTGGAGGTGTGACAAAGAGATCATCAGACTATTCTTTACACATAAACATAGCCTTCCTAAAAGCAGTTTTCTGGCCAGGGAAGTGAAACACCCACCTGAACTGACCACAGCGGAGTTTCTGTAGTGCCTCAGGGAAGGCATGTGTGTAACGCACAGGAAGGCACAGATGTCCCTCTGACCTTCATGCAAAGAAAAAAAAAGACATGCTTGTAATATGAGCACTTTTTCCCTCAAACTAGATAAAGTAATTTATTCTCTCTCATTCTATAACATGCTGAAATTCACAACAAGGAATTCCCCAACCTGTCTGTTCTGAACTAGCTAAGAACCTTACCAGTCAAGTAAACTTACCACTTGCCCCAACCCATCTCACCACTTTATCCTCGCTAACCCATTTTGTTGTGAGTTCTTACCTTTCAGGGTCTGTGTTAACCCCAAGAACCGGTTGGTCTTTATTGAAAACCTTACTGGCGACAAGTAGCATAGTCCCATCCCCTAACAAAAGGAACGGGAGGGTGTCAGAGCTAATGTCAACAAGGTCTCAGGGTGAAATGGGCCTATTCATGGTTTGAGTTGACCCTTCTCTGAGCACTGACTTTCAACAGTATGATAGGAATTCATTTGTAATTGTATTGTACCCCTCTGTGGGAAAGTGACCATGTAAGTGATCAGCTACTATTCTCAAACTCTTAAAACGGGAACACTTGCCCCCTGCCGAGATAATGGCGTCTGCCCATCTCACTGTTTCTTCATCATATTCCCCTCTCTTCACCACACGCACCTCAATCCGCTCTTTCCTAGAGGGAACACAGAGAGACACACAAAGGTAATGTGGCCACGTCCACACCTTCATGACCTTTTGTAGACAGTACACCACAACAACATCCTTGAATAAAATCCTATCATCTTACTGTAGACTCTCCACAATGTGTTCCACATTGCGGATGTGGATGTTGTGTCTCTCCAGAAGCCCAATGTAGCTGGAGCCCTTCAATGCAAGCTGTAACAAGCCCCAAAACTCAGATGACCACAATTATATAATCACAGCAAAGTCATTTCAACCAGGCTCTCTGGTGGTGAGGATTAGCATACAACTCAACATTGAGAAAGGAATCTGACATCCTCAGTGAATATTTGTCTATCACCAGCATATACCTATCGGATCACCTGGGTTTCCATGTCTGAACTGAAAGTGAAACTGGTGTGTGCTGATGATGCCTTGTTTAGGGGGTGTTTTACTGTCAATGAAGAACACATTAACAAATGAGGGCGTTTGAGAGCAAGTACCATTTATATCACATCGTTTTCCATTCCCTTACCAGCTGTTTTAGGTCCTCTTCTGAGAGTTCTGAAAAGCGATATCTTTGCTGCTCGAATTCATACCTTGTCATCTTTGTCACCACAGCAACTTTTGCGGGTTTAAAACCTATTTCAGCCTGTGATGCAATACTTCGTATCTCCATCTGAATGTGAGGGAGGCGACTTGAGCTCCCATTTAAAATAGTGACAGCTCGATTCCCAAGGCACAGGAAGTTTATAAAGGAACGGTGAGTCATTCTTGTAAATTATTATAATACAATTAAACAATACAATTCATTAAACAAAAGTTATTCGTTGTTGGTCCCCATTGGCCAATGTCGGTTAATCCAATCCGATGTCCTAGCTGTTTGACCTGGGTCCCTTCATGCACTACAATCGGCAAATCCAGATACTGCGACACCAACTCTTACCTAGCTAGTGTAGTTCTGAATTGACAAAGCACGACCTAGTAAGTTTAGCTATCGAGCTAGCTACTATAGCAGCTTAAAAACGAACCACCGTAACTCTAGCCAGGTCTCTGTTTCACTTTTACGAGCTGACAAGGTAGGTAGCTAGCTATGACAGTTTATATGAACGACTTTTGTTTCGTCTCACTAACATTTGCCATCTGATGTAATGGTAGGAAAGAAGGTCACGCGCACTCCTGATCCAGCTAGGTAGAACGGGATAACTAGTTTTAAATCTATCAAAATTAAATGTAAGCCCAACACGTGTCAATTCTAAACACAGCACATATATCGTTGGCTATCAAAGTTCCTTGCCAGCGAACCTCTACATGAGCCTTTCACATTTTCAAAGAATATTCTAATAATCCAAGCATTAGTTTCATCATACTTATATACTCTAAGCAGCTTCAAGACACTAAATACATGCATGTGTTTGATAATCAGAGGACTTCTGACCCAGCTGCACCGACCTAGTAGCTACAACACCATCTTTGAAGCACGCAGACTTGCTGAATGCACGTTTATTTCATTACGTACAACAACAACAACGTGCTTTTCAGGGGTGGAGCCTGTCGTCACTAGTTACCACAGCCACAAAGTCATAATTATGACTAAACCCCGCCCATTTCTACAATTTATCTTCTTAAAATCTGATTTTAAACCTAACATTAACCCTCACCTTAACCACACTGCTAACCTTATGCCTAACCCTAAACTTAAATTAAGACTAAAAAGCTATTTTTTTTGTTGCCAATTTTGACTTTGTGGCTGTGGAATCTGACTTTGTGTCTGTGTTATCTAGTGTAAACCGGTGGAGCCAGAGCATTGTTGTTGTCTAAATAGCTTCCTTTCCTAGACTCCTTTCCTTTTGTCACCTGAAAAATACTAGAAATAGGAGAGCAATATGAATGGAACCTCACCAGTCCTTCAGTATTCATGAAGGATGAAAAAAATAAAATAACGTATGCACTCTGGATAAGAGCGTCTGCTAAATGACTAAAATGTAAGGAAAATCAGCAGTAGAGAGGCTATTCATTTGGCAAACATTGTCCAAAGTGGGCTACCTTTGTCTTCTCTCCTTCGCCTGCACTGATCTGAAAAAACTGGATAGATGAAAGCAGGTCTACTAGACTAGAGGACAAGATTACTTTTTTGTTAGTAACATCAGCTCAGTACCCCCAACAACAACCATGAAAAATTATGATAAACTCAAACGTTGTATCAGAAAATCTGTTTTTATCAATCACGATGACATAACTGTTCACATAACATGGTGATATGACCAGAAGCAGATTAATATAATATATACAAATCAAAATATGAACTAGATGCTAGTCATGTTTGCTTTTATGCAGGATTACCCTTTTAAGTAAATTGCTGATGACAATACACTGGGTAATAGAACTTGAAATCCATTAAAAACATTTCAATGTTTTCTCGCAGCAATTACAGAGCTAGGCAGAAGCATGCACTGAGTACTGTGCAGAAAAGGTGAGTGTACCACAACCTTGAGATTGTTGTTTATGTCAGTAATGTACTGTATAAAGGAAACAGCTAACAATAAAGCTATTTTGTTTGTTTCACAGTTGAAATAGGTAGATACATATTCTATTCTATTTGTAGTGAAAGACCTACAAAAATGGTTTCAAATCATTCAGTTGATCATAAGCTGTTTTTAAAACACTTACAAAATATAAAACAATGCTTATAAAGGAAATACAGAAGAACAAAACCCTTTGGGAATATTCCAAATATGTTTCAAATAAGTTTAATGTGGGTGCCTCAGCCACAAATAGCACATATAAATGGATGATAAACTAACAAAATCAAATAAATACAATCGTCTTTTAAAATCAGTCATTACATCTAGATTCCTTCTGTCGTAATGTGGCAGTATACTCTCCCCTTGCACACTGCCACAATGACGTAAAATATAAAAGTAAGTACAGCAATAGAATAATCATATGTTTTTTTTTTTTTTAAGGCAGTCATGGTAGCTCAGTAGATAGTAAATACTTGCAAGCTGTCTCTTGATGTTTTGTTCCACTGTTCCATTATTGCCAAAGTTCTGTTCAGATGTGATGACACCCAAAACTGTTGCATGGTCCAGGTCAGAATATGATGTCATGTCACCAAGAATCCAAACTGGGTTTACTGTGTATCCAATCACAAACCACTGCAAAGGAGAGAGACAGACATGTTATGTGTGTAAATATTGTAATACTTGTAGACAGTAGCTCTATGTTTTGCTGCACAGTGTTTTGTCTGGTAAATGCACAATGAGAAAATGGCCATGTTAAGGGTTGTTCAGAATGCATTCTCATGTCATGTACAGTGCATTCGGAAAGTATTCAGACCCCTTCCCTTTTTCCACATTTTGTTATGTTACAGCCTTATTAAAAAAAACAAAAAACCTCAACAATCTACACACAATACCCCGTAATGACAAAGCGAAAAGGTTTTTAGAAATTTTTGCAAATGTATTAAAAATAAAAAACAGGAATACCTTATTTAGATAAGTATTCAGACCCTTTGCTATGAGACTCGAAATTGAGCTCAGGTGCATCCTGTTTCCATTGATCATCCTTGAGGAATTGTGTCGAGGCACAGATCTGGGGAAGGGTACCCAAAACTTTCTGCAGCATTGAAGGTCCCCAAGAACACAGTGGCCTCCATCATTCTTAAATGGAAGAAGTTTGGAACCACCAAGACTCTTCCTAGAGCTGGCCGCCCAGCCAAACTGATCAATCGGGGGAGAAGGGCCTTGGTCAGGGAGGTGACCAAGAACCCGAGGGTCACTCTGACAGAGCTCAAGAGTTCCTCTGTGGAGATGGGAGAACCTTCCAGGTGGACAACGATCTCTACAGCACTCCACCAATCAGGCCTTTTGGTAGCCACTCCTCAGTAAAAGGTAGGACCGCTCAGGACCTCAGACTGGAGCGAAGGTTTACCTACCAACAGGACAACGACCCTAAGCACACAGCCAAGACAACGCAGGAGTGGCTTCGGCACAAGTCTCTAAATGTCCATGAGTGGCCCAGCCAGAGCCCGGACTTGAACCCGATCGAACATCTCTGGAGAGACCTGAAAATAGCTGTGCAGCGATGCTCTCCATCCAACCTGACAGAGCTTGAGAGGATCTGCAGAGAAGAATGGGAGAAACTCCCCAAATACAGGTGTGCCAAACCTGTAGCGTCATACCCAAGAAGACTCAAGGCTGTAATCACTGCCAATGGTTCTTCAACAAAGTACTCAGTAAAGGGTCTGAATACTTATGTAAATGTGATATTTCATTTTTTTTTTTTATACATTTGCAATAATGTCTAAAAACTTGTTTTTGCTTTGTCATTATGGGGTGTTGTGTGTAGATTGATGAGGGGGGAAAACTATTTAATCAATTTTAGAATAAGGCTGTAACGTAAAATCTTTTGGAAAAAGTCAAGGGGTCTGAATACTTTCCGAATGCACTGTATCTTTGCTAAATATGTTAACTTGAACCCATTTGCAGTCCACATTGTTCTAAGTAGTTTTATGGCTTCAATAGCATTCACACAGATGTAGGCGCTAGGCCTACTGTAAATTGCATTATGCTGAGCATGGACATGCCAAACATTGTCAATAAGCAAGATTTTATTAATTATTGATAAAGCCTAAAAAGAGAATGAATAATACTTTCCGAATGCACTGTAGGTCTCTACTGAGTTTTTACAGGGACAACACATGTTTTGGCTCCTGAGGACATAACTTGCCCTCCACTGGAATGCGATTTATGCAGGGGTAGGTGATATCGGCTAATTTTAGCTTCTTTAGGTGTCTTGTTGGCATACAAGTTCAAGGAGGCTGAAGGAGAGGTTGTTGCAAGGAATAACAAGTGGACTATTGTTTAGATAAACAGCAAAACCTAGTTTTCTCATCTCTAGTACAGTGGTTCCCAACCTTTTTTTAAACTGTGGCACACCTTCATGGGATAAAATATCCTCCGGCACACCTTCAATTTCCCTATTAATTTATTTAGTGGTAATTACCTCCATCTCATCTGATCCATACTGCAAATCATCTATTTCCTGTGACAAACATTTTTTATAGATTATATAGGGTTTATTTGAACTATTTTTATAGTTCCTTACACATGATGATTAATTTGTGAGTACCCCTTTAATTAAGAGTCTATTGACGCGCCCGTGCGTCAATCTAAGTACCAGCATCTGTGGAGGAAGGTGGTGGAGCTACAGTAGTGTTTGTCAGACCATTAGGCATTAATCCATGGATTTCACATGACTGGGAATACAGATATGCATATGTTGGTCACAGATACCTTTAAAAAAAAAAGTAGGGGCATGGATCAGAAAACCAGTCAGTATCTGGTGTGACCACCATTTGTCTCATGCAGCACAAAAAATCTCCTTCGCATAGAGTTGATCAGTCTATTGATTGTGGCCTGTGGAATGTTGTCCCACTCCTCTTCAATGGCTGTGCGAAGTTGCTGGATATTGGCGGGAACTGGAACGTGCTGTCATACATGTCGATCCAGAGCATCCCAAACATGCTCAATGGGTGACATGTCTGGTGAGTATGCAGGCCATGGAAGAACTGGGACATTTCCAGCTTCCAGTAATTGTGTACAGATCCTTGCGACATGAGGCAGTGCATTATCATGCTGAAACATGAGGTGATGACGGCAGATGAATGGCAGAACAATGGGCCTCAGGATCTCGTCACGGTTTCTCTGTGCATTCAAATGGCCATCGATAAGATGCAATTGTGTTCGTTGTCCATAGCTTATACCTGCCCATACCACAACCCCACCGCCACCATGGGGCACTCTGTTCACAACGTTGACATCAGCAAAAAGCTTGCTCACACGACGCCATACACGCTGTCTGCCATCTTCCCGGTACAGTTGAAACCGTGATTCATCCGTGAAGAGCACACTACTCCAGCGTGCCAGTGGCCATCGAAGGTGAGCATTTTGCCCACTGAAGTCGGTTAGGACACCGAACTGCAGTCAGGTCAAGACCCTGGTGAGGATCACCAGCTCGCAGATGAGCTTCCCTGAGACAGTTTATGACAGTTTGTGCAGAAATTCTTCGGTTGTGCAAACCCACGATCCCGCATGTGAAGAAGCCGGATGTGGAGGTCCTGGGCTGGTGTGGTTAAACATCGTCTGCGGTTGTGAGGCCGTTTGGACATACTGCCAAATTCTCTAAAACGACGTTGGAAGCGGCTTATGGTAGAGAAATGAACATTAAATTATCTGGCAACAGCTCTGGTGGACATTCCTGCAGTCAGCATGCCAATTGCATGCTCCCTCAAAACTTCAGACATCTGTGGCATTGTGTTGTGTGACAAAATATAAACGCAACATGTAAAGTGTTGGTCGCATGTTTCATGAGTTGAAATAAAAGAGAATTTGGCAGTACGTAACCACACCAACCCACGACCTCCACATCCGGCTTCTTCACCTGCGGGATTGTCTGAGACCAGCCACCCGGACAGCTGATGAAACTGTGGGTTTGCACAACTGAAGAATTTCTGCACAAACTGATCCACGCCTTTACTTAAAAAAAAAAAAGGTATCTGTGATGAACAGATGCATGTCTGTAATCCCAGTCATGTGAAATCCATAGATTAGGGCCTAATGAATTTATTTAAATTGACTGATTTCCTTATATGAACTGTAACTCAGTAGAATTCCCTGAAATTGTTGAATGTTGTGTTTATATTTTTCATCAGTGTATATCTAAGCGGCATTGGTGCTCCCAAGTCAAAATGCCATGTGCATTCAACAGGTCTCGTTTATAAGTGATTGTTCCAAAAAATTATCAAGATTAGGAAAAGTTTTGCGGCACACCTGACAGTTCCTCAAGGCGCACCAGTGTGCCGCAGCACATCGGTTGAAAACCACTAATCTAGTGTTCTCTTCTCTCTTTCATAATGGTTTAAAAAAATATATACACTACCAGTCAAAAGTTTGGACACACCTACTCATTCAAGGGTTTTTCTTTATCTTTACTATTTTTTACAATGTAGAATAATAGTGAAGACATCAAAACTATGAAATAATACATATGGAATCATGTAGTAACCCAAAAAGTGTTAAACAAATCAAATAGCCACCCTTTGCCTTGATGACAGCTTTGCACACTCTTGGAATTCTCTCAACCAGCTTCATGAGGTAGTCACCTGGAATGCATTTCAATGAACAGGTGTGCCTTCTTAAAAGTTAATTTGTGGAATTTATTTCCTTCTTAATGTGTTTCAGCCAATCAGTTGTGTTGTGACAAGGTAAGGGGGGTATACAGAAGGTAGCCCTATTTGGTAAAAGACCAAGTCCATATTATGGCAAGAACAGCTCAAATAAGCAAAGAGAAACGATAGTCCATCATTACTTTAAGACATGAAGGTCGGTCAATACGGAACATTTCAAGAACTTTTAAAGTTTCTTCAAGTGCAGTCGCAAAAACCATGAAGCAGTATGATGAAACTGGCTCTCATGAGGACCCCCACAAGAATGGACGACCCAGAGTTACCTCTGCTGCAGATGATAAGTTCAATAGAGTTACCAGCCTCAGAAATTGCAGCCCAAATAAATGCTTTGCAGAGTTCAAGTAACAGACACATCTCAACATCAACTGTTCAGAGGGGACTGTGTGAATCAGGTCTTCATGGTCGAATTGCTGCAAAGAAACCACTACTAAAGGACACCAATAAGAAGAAGAGACCTGCTTGGGCCAAGAAACATGAGCAATGGACATTAGACCAGTGGAAATGTGTCCTTTGGTCTGGAATCCAAATGTGAGATTTTTGGTTCCAACCGCCGTGTCTTTGTGAGACGTGGTGTGGGTAAACTGATAATCTATGCATGTGTATTTCCCACCATAAAGCATGGAGGAGGAGGTGTTATGGTGTGGGGGTGCTTTGCTGGTGACACTGTCTGTGATTTATTTAGAATTCAAGGCACACTTAACCAGCATGGCTACCACAGCATTCTGCAGCGATACGCCATCGCATCTGGTTTGGGCTTAGTGGGACTATCATTTGTTTTTCAACAGGACAATGACCCAACACACCTCCAGGCTGTGTAAGGGCTATTTTACCAAGAAGGAGCGTGATGGAGTGCTGCATAAGATGACCTGGCCTCCTCAATCCCCCGACCTCAACCCAATTGAGATGGTTTGCGATGAGTCGGACGGCAGAGTGAAGGAAAAGCAGCCAACAAGTGCTCAGCATATGTGGGAACTCCTTCAAGACTGTTGGAAAAGCATTCCAGGTGAAGCTGGTTGAGAGAATGCCAAGGGTATGCAAAGCTGTCATCAAGGGAAATGGTGGCTATTTGAAGAATCTCAAATATAAAATACAATTTGATTTGTTTAACACTTTTTTGGTTGCTACATGAATCCATATGTGTTATTTCATAGTTTTGATGTCTTCACTATTATTCTACAATTTAGAAAATCGTAAAATAAAGAAAAACCCTTGAATGAGTAGGTGTGTCCAAACTTTTGACTGGTACTGTATATACACTGCTCAAAAAAATAAAGGGAACACTTAAACACCACATCCTAAATCTGAATGAATGAAATAATCTTATTAAATACTTTTTTCTTTACATAGTTGAATGTGCTGACAACAAAATCACACAAAAATTATCAATGGAAATCAAATGTATCAACCCATTGAGGTCTGGATTTGGAGTCACCCTCAAAATTAAAGTGGAAAACCACACTACAGGCTGATCCAACTTTGATGTAATGTCCTTAAAACAAGTCAAAATGAGGCTCAGTAGTGTGTGTGGCCTCCACGTGCCTGTATGACCTCCCTACAACGCCTGGGCATGCTCCTGATGAGGTGGCGGATGGTCTCCTGAGGGATCTCCTCCCAGACCTGGACTAAAGCATCCGCCAACTCCTGGACAGTCTGTGGTGCAACGTGGCGTTGGTGGATGGAGCGAGACATGATGTCCCAGATGTGCTCAATTGGATTCAGGTCTGGGGAACGGGCGGGCCAGTCCATAGCATCAATGCCTTCCTCTTGCAGGAACTGCTGACACACTCCAGCCACATGAGGTCTAGCATTGTCTTGCATTAGGAGGAACCCAGGGCCAACCGCACCAGCATATGGTCTCACAAGGGGTCTGAGGATCTCATCTTGGTACCTAATGGCAGTCAGGCTACCTCTGGCGAGCACATGGAGGGTTGTGCGGCCCCCCAAAGAAATGCCACCCCACACCATGACTGACCCACCGCCAAACCGGTCATGCTGGAGGATGTTGCAGGCAGCAGAACATTCTCCACGGCGTCTCCAGACTCTGTCACGTCTGTCACATGTGCTCAGTGTGAACCTGCTTTCATCTGTGAAGAGCACAGGGCGCCAGTGGCGAATTTGCCAATCTCGGTGTTCTCTGGCAAATGCCAAACGTCCTGAACGGTGTTGGGCTGTAAGCACAACCCCCACCTGTGGACGTCGGGCCCTCATACCACCCTCATGGAGTCTGTTTCTGACCGTTTGAGCAGACACATGCAGATTTGTGGCCTGCTGGAGGTCATTTTGCAGGGCTCCGGCAGTGCTCCGCCTGCTCCTCCTTGCACAAAGGCGGAGGTAGCGGTCCTGCTGCTGGGTTGTTGCCCTCCTACGGCCTCCTCCACGTCTCCTGATGTACTGGCCTGTCTGCTGGTAGTGCCTCCATGCTCTGGACACTACGCTGACAGACACAGCAAACCTTCTTTCCACAGCTCGCATTGATGTGCCATCCTGGATGAGCTGCACTACCTGAGCCACTTGTGTGGGTTGTAGACTCCGTCTCATGCTACCACTAGAGTGAAAGCACCGCCAGCATTCAAAAGTGACCAAAACATCAGCCAGGAAGCATAGGAACTGAGAAGTGGTCTGTGGTCACCACCTGCAGAACCACTTCTTTATTGGGGGTGTCTTGCTAATTGCCTATAATTTCCACCTGTTGTCTATTCCATTTACACAACAGCATGTGAAATGTATTGTCAATCAGTGTTGCTTCCTAAGTGGACAGTTTGATTTCACAGAAGTGTGATTGACTTGGAGTTACATTGTGTTGTTTTAGTGTTCCCTTTATTTTTTTGAGCAGTGTATATATTTTTAGGCCTGGGACTTTTAGGAATGTAATACACCATGATGGGGGATCCATCTGTTACTCTGTTTTTATGTGGGGGGTTTGCCAGCAGCAGAGTGAAGGTCTGAGAGCGACTACCACCTGCTAACAGCTCCCTCCCTCTGGAATGTGGACTGTGGATTAGTGACGGACAGGAGGACGAGTTGTCCCTTAATCAAACTATCTAAACAATTTCCAAACCCACGTTTTTTTACACGGGAAAAACAATGTGCTAAACATTGGACTTAGTCGTAGACAAAAAAGTGTGTAGGTGAAAGAGTAAGGGATAATCTAAGACAACTTCATCTCAGACAACTGTATGCTAGAGTACAGACCTATCCCTGTTGCTATTCACTCTTACCAGGTCGCAATCGTGTCACTAGCAGCCCTTCTTCTCTTTCTTGCCGTTGTCTCTCCTCTTCCTCCTCCTCCTCCTCTTCCTCCTCATTCTCACTGTTGCAGTGCCCCTCCCTGGTCCTGCCCCCTGCAGCCTCTGCCTCCCTCCCAGCAGCACTGGCCCGTAGGGCTACCAGCCGATGGTGGATGGCCACGTAGAGGCGAGCCACGTCCCTGGCGCCGGCCTGGATGAGGAACACCCGGACGGCTTGAGTCTCCACGTCGGTGGCCGTCACCTGGAGGTTCCGGCGGGCCGGGCGACGCAGGTGTGTGTGTGGCCAGAGCTTGGTGTTGAGGATAACCTTGAGACTGCCCTGGTGCCTCATCACTGTTCAGATGGCGACATGTGTGAGAGATATATGAGATATACTGAGGATGAGAAACAGAAAGCTGTGCTGATGTTAGTCAGATTGATGGAAATAGTAATCTCCTTCATGGTAAACTCACCTATCCTGGACTGCAGTCCTCCTTTGGTCCCTGATGCTAGATCATTGAGTCGCAGGACTCCTCTCCCTCGCTCAGTCCATGACTGTGTTCCTTTTTCCAGGACAAACAGTCTGCAGGTTAGCTAAAATAAAAACAGAAAGCACGCTTTAAAAAGGTATTTAAAAAGGTACACCACTATCTCTAGCAATATCAGAAGGCACAGACCTATTGGATCCTATTTCAACCTAATGGTCGCATTCCTCGTTATGAACTGTGCCGTTAGGCACCAGATTGGTATAACCTAATGATGTGGTTAGCTGATACGTAAAATACCTATCCAGGCACTGTAAGATCTGGCATGCGTCAGCAACGCCTGGGCAGAGGAACGTGCCCTATAGGTCCTCACCTGGACCACATTGCTCTCCTTCTCCTCCCCAGTGAACAGCTGAACCTGCCTGAGCACACACTGCCTCCCACAGGACGCTGTGTAAGCTGCAGCAGACTCCCTCAGACTGCTCCACACAGCACCTATCAGCAAACACAGACAGCACTTCAGCTGCAGTTCTGAAAGGCATCCACTAAGAGGCAGTCAATTACTAATAGAACAGAGGTGCACAGCTCTAGTCCTCTATGGTGGTGTTTACACAGGTGGCCCAATTCTAATCTTTTTCCACTAATTGGTCTTTTGACCAATCAGATCAGCTCTTTTCCCAATAATTGGGCAAAATATCAGAATTGGGCTGCCTGTGTAAACGCAGCCTAGGACCACAGTCTTGGTGGATCAGCAGACACTGTGGCCATTGAGGTACTGGTTCTTGAGGACCAGAGTTGTGTACTCATGTAAATACACTATGACGAACTTAATGATTTACCTTTATGACTTGACTCAGAGGTGGAAGACTCAGGATCAGAGCTGCAATCAGAATCTTCACTGCTGGATGATTTCTGTGGTCTCTATATGAGGGCGAGAAAGTGAGAGCATTTCTGTAAATATAACGTGTTTGGTAACACATTTAAAGTCATACAAGTGTGATGACATCATATATTTCATAGTCATCCTATGCAAATTGCTACTGTATAAGTACACTATATATACAAAAGTGTGTGGACACCCCTTCAAATGAGTGGATTCGGCTAGTTTAGCCACACCCGTTGCTGACAGGTGTATAAAATCGAGCACACAGCCATGAAATCTCCATAGACAAACATTGGCAGTAAAAATAATTGACTTACTGAAGAGCTCAGTGACTTTCAACGTGGTACCATCATAGGATGCCACCTTTCCAACAAGTCAGTTCGTCAAATTTCTGCCCTGCTAGAGCTACCCCAGTCAACGGTAAGTGATGTTATTGTGAAGTGGAAATGTCTAGGAGGAACAACGGCTCAGCCGCGAAGTAGTAGGCCACACAAGTTTACAGAACGGGACCGCCGAGTGCTGAAGCACGTAGCACGTAAAAATCGTCTGTCCTCGGTTGCAACACTCACTACCGAGTTCCAAACTGCCTCTGGAAGCAACGTCAGCACAAGAACTGTTCGCCGGGAGCTTCATGAAATGGGTTTCCATGGCCGAGCAGCCGCACACAAGCCTAATATCACCATGCGCAATGCCAAGCGTCGGTTGGAGTGGTGTAAAGCTTGCCGTCATTGGACTCTGGATCAGTGGAAACGCGTTCTCTGGAGTGATGAATCACGCTTCACCATCTGGCAGTCCGACCGATGAATCTGGGTTTGGCGGATGCCAGGAGAACACTACCTGCCCCAATGCATAGTGCCAACTGTAAAGTTTGGTGGAGGAGGAATAATGGTCTGGGGCTGTTTTTCATAGTTCGGGCTAGGCCCCTTAGTTCCAGTGAAGGGAAATCTTAACGCTACAGCCTACAATGACATTCTAGACAATTCTGTGCTTCCAACTTTATGGCAACAGTTTGGGGAAGGCCCTTTCCTGTTTTCAGCATGACAATGCCCCCGTGCACAAAGCGAGGTCCATACAGAATTGGTTTGTCGAGATCGTTGTGGAGGAACTTGACTGGCCTGCACAGAGCCCTGAACTCAACCCCATCGAACATTTTTGGGATGAATTGGAACGCCGACTGCGAGCCAGGCCTAATCACCCAACATCAGTGCCCGACCTCACTAATGCTCTTGTGGCTGAATGGAAGCAAGTCCCCACAGCAATGTTCCAACATCTAGTGGAAAGCCTTCCCAGAAGAGTGGAGGCTGTTATAGCAGCAAAGGGGGGACCAACTCCATATTAATGCCCATGATTTTGGAATTAGATGTTTGACTAGCAGGTGTCCACATACTTTTGGTCATGTAGTGTATGTCGGTGTGCTTTACTGAAAGTATCCTGAACTCACCAAGACTCTTTCGCTCATGTTTTCCCCAAACACAAACTGGACCCTGTCTGAGGTGGTACCGTCTGCCTTTGATCTGTGGAGGGTGAACCAGAGGTCAGCAGAGAGGTCAGCAGGTTCAGAATCACTGCTGGGAACTAAACCCCTAGACCCCACATAGCTCTGACAGAGGAAACACAACACAACTCTGTCAGGGTCTCTGGGTTAAAGCAAGGCTGTCCAGTCCTGGGTCTGGACTGGAAGTTAACCTGTAACCCTAACCCCCTGGTTGAACTAATCCATGCCTTGACGTGGAGTGGGTAGCCCTCAATTAGAATGTCAACTGTCAAATATACTGTTTAAAGTGGCTGTGAGGCTTTAAAACAGAAATATTGCACAGACTTGACCTGACCAGATACCCTGCATCCTTACTGTTACATTAAACCAGGTCCTCTGCGTACCTGTGAACTTGAGGGGGTTTCTTCTGATGTAATACACCAACAGTGGAGGAGCGGTCAGTTGTGATGCTGCAGCCATCATCTGAAGGATCATGGCTCACCTGTGGAAGTGGGACAAAAAAACAATGCAAATTATTATTTTACAGTCCTATTACATTCCTGAAATTACATTGGATTGGTACTTCCTTGAGTCAAAGAATTCAACACAATGCTTGTGTAAATAGAAAATAAGATACATTTTACAGACAAAACCTATTATATAATTGAGTGTGTTGATCTGGCAAGTTCGGGAGTAGAGAGAAAGCTAATTAAGCATTGACAGACATTAACAAAAAAAACATTGCACAATAATTTCCAATAGAAAGAACTGATTCAAACTGGTTTTGGGGGTTGGGTTTATAAACTGTTAGTGAGTGAATATGTTTCTCTGAGAAAAGCATGTGGGTCCCTCAGGCAATGACACAACCCCAACTGAGAAGTATTTTATTATTGAAATACTTTTAAGGTCTGAGAGAGTTCACTCTCTTTTTGACACAACCCCAACTGAGAAGTATTTTATTATTGAAATACTTTTAAGGTCTGAGAGAGTTCACTCTCTTTTAATTTTTTACCTGAGAGAGTTTTCTCATTTCACTCTGTGTGAGGGGGTGAAGAGAGTTGTAGAATACCTCAGATAGGTGTGGCTGTGAGGAGATGTTCCAGGGCTGAGGGGCGAGGAGACGTGCAGGCTGAAGGAATGACCTTCTGACCCTGTTCAGAGGTGTAACTACACAGAAGATGAGAGGAATAGAAAAGGAGGGGTATAAAGAGACTTTAATCCATTTCTGTCCTTCAAAGTCAGTCTTACGATCAGGTATGGAAAAAAAAAACACTATATGTAGAATAGAGATTAAGTGTGGTTTGTTAGTTATTTAGATAATTATAGGTATTTTAGCACATCAAAAGGTAAACATAAGACCAGAGAATGGATATTTACCTGTGTTTGGGGAATTGTTGGTCCGGTTGCACAGATTTGAGGGCATGAAGACATTTGATCTTGAGACTAGGAGAGAGGGGAGTGGAGATCCATCAGAAGAGTTCACACAGACAGACATATCATATATGGTTAAAGTTAAAACACGCTCCCCACATTTATGTCAAAGTCACCGCCAGACTTAGCACATGACAACATTCAACATGCTTGGCCAACAATGAGCAGTGAGGGTACCACGTTGCCAATGGTGGGTCATGGTGGTGATTTGTGATGAGCAGGTGAGGGCTGCAGTGACAGAGTGAAACTGAAACGGATCAGGGGAAAGAGATACTAGGGGCTGCAGTGAAGTGGCTGCTGGGAATCTACACTCTAGAAAAAATAGTTCCAAAAGGGTTCTTCGGCTGTCCCCATAGGATAACCCTTTTTGGTTCCAGGTAGAACCCTTTTGTGTTCCATATAGAACCCTCTGTAGAAAGGGTTCTACATGGAACCCAAAATGGTTCTACCTACAACCAAAAAGGGCTCTTCAAAGGGTTCTTCTATGGGCACAGACGAAGAACCCTTTACAGGGATGGTGTGACTGGAATGTATGGACCTAGAGGAAATACTGGCAGTGAATATAGACAGGAAACCTTTTCAGAGAGTTTGATCATGATGCATAGCCGCGGGAAGTAGGGGTGCTGAGGGTGTTGCAGCACCCCCTGAAAAATCATTATTATTATTTATAAATTTTTCTCACAAAAGTAGTGCACTGGGCCTTTACTAGTCCTGTATTAGCCGACCGATATAGCCGTCTGTAGTGCCAAATATTCTTCCCGCGGCTATGTCATGGTGCACTGCTTCAGTTCATTTAAAAGATATGGAGATACTGTATTTTATTCCAGTAAGATCCCAGTTTTATTAAGGCTACAATCATATGCAGGCGAGTCAAGGAATCAAGCAACGAGACTCAGTTGCTACTTATTTGCGTGGGCGCTGTATGCACTAGGGGACAGCTTAGAAAGGAGAGATGAAAGGATAGAGATAATAGAGGACAGTAGAGAGATGACAGGACTTGACAGGTCTTGTCTACTGTGCGGTTGTTTACCTGGAGGTGGTTGGGGAAAAGAGTGGGAATTTGTTCGTACTCGTCTACTGCCGTCACAGGAGCCTGTCAGAGACACAGAGAAATAAGAGAAGTCATGTTAACCAGCAGCATTGTGTATATACTGTAGGTGAAATGTCAGTAGAGATTGTACAAATAAATCACCCTTACCAAAGGAGAGTAACACTGAGGAACAGGGATTATAATTCAACCCTCAAAGGTTTATGTCTGGTGGTAATAATACCATAATACGTATGTACATATTTTTTATAGAGTAGGCAGACAATTTCTGCAAATTGATATTTCTGAACACTCACCTTTCCTCATTCTGCTGTTAGGATTAGGGTAGGTGAAAGATCGGACTCGTTTGTTTGCACTGATTCCCACAACTATTGGAGAACAAGCCAAGTACACATAAATATATTACTGCCAATGCAATAGAAAGTAACAGAGATTCAGAGAGTAATCATCCAGCAAAATGTTTGCTTGTTATGACATGCAGCATATATAATGCTTACCTGATCCCTCCTCCCATCTCTCTGCTCTCCTCTGTAGAAATAAATTACAGAAAGAAAGTTCAGAAATGCAAACTAATGATACATATTCTTCCATTACATGTTTCTGAATGTATCCTATTTATTAGCAACTGCTTTTTAATAATGCATGTGCATCATCTGTCAACATGTTACCCTTCAGGATATGATTCAGATTACCTTCATGGATGGGGTGAAAGACTTCTGAAAGACGAACACCGGTGGGGCAAGCACAGTTTTCTCTGTGAAAAGACAGATTATAGCACAGTTAGAGAATTCTCCTTGTTGAAATTTCATACAGCGACTGATTCATTATCCAATCTTAGCTAAACCATACAGTAACTGAGTTTAAAAGCATTTACTTAAATGTATTTAAATTAAAATACGAAAACACTTTTCTTAATGTTGTCACTGAAACCACAAAGACGTAACCAGGGAAATGGCTGAGACTGTGAGCTGTCGGTACACACTGTTCTGCCAAGACTCTAAAATGCAAAGCTAGGAAACTCAACAGTTGCACTGTTCTGAATTGAAGAGTAATTTACCCACCACATTTATTATTCCTCAATTAACCCTCAAAACACACAGTCAGTTAAACAAGGACCCAAAGTGTGGTGAGATCTCTAGGCTCGCCAACAGTTCTGACTGGAGATGTCCATCGTCATCCCACCCCAATGTGTTATTCTAATCAATGGAGGCTTTGACATCCAAGGCCTCTTATGTAACCACGCAGCCTGACAATGGGCCCTAGACACTGGGGACAAGCCCACCGTGGCAGGGGTGAATGATGGGATAGCAGTGGAGGTGTGAGCCAGCTAGGCACCAGACACCAAGGCTTGGCCCTGGGTCAAACTGACTGAGACTGGTCCAGACCTGTATGGAGGCTATAAATACACAGGGACTCTGTCACTGATCTGACCTCATACTATCAACTCTGCTTAGAGTCAATTAGTAATGTATTTTGGTGTGTTAATTCACATGTTGAGATTTGCCAGTGTTGTGTCAGTGACTGTTCACTCTGGGCACGGAGAAAGATGGCATTCACACTTCACAGTCAGTGACAGATGATCACTTGGAATTCACCCAAGTCTACAGTGTGAGCAGCCTGTTCTAATGACGATTGACTGTTCAGATGCAACATATTAATACGTTGTCCTATATAATGATGATTAACATCAAAACGGGTTTGCTTCTTGCATTTATGCGGTTCTTCAGCTTTCCTGGAATGCTAAAAAGTACATTAATGGGTCAATGGAGGCTATTTCTACCACAAGCCACAGTAATCCTGTCTGTGACCTCCTGGGGAAATCAGAGCAAACACTACTTACTAACTCTAGAGTCCAACTATGAGGGCATACAATCGCATGATCTACAGTAGACAAACAGCAGCGCACAACAAATGGAATGGTAATTAGTTTACACAACACTCCAACAGTCAAGAGGTGCCAGAGACAAGTGCCTATTCCACTGAATGTAACAGCATAGAAGGGTGGTCATCAGTGCATAAGGTAGAGTGTTTTTGCTGAGTGTCAATAGGAGCACTGTGTATCCTCCCTGACACATACTGTAGGTTATGATGTATGTGCACGCCATCGCTGCTGTGGAAAAATACTTATTCACAGGTCAGGTACCGTATCACAGGTCAGGTACCGTATCACAGGTCAGGTACCGTATCACAGGTCAGGTACCGTATCACAGGTCAGGTACCGTACTACACACAGTTGAGTTTGGTCACCCCAGACAACGCGAATATACAGCAACAATTAAACCCATTGCATCTTCCCTATCTCAACTCTTCTTTCCCGAATCTCTCCTAACCTTTCCTCCTCTTCTCTCCTTCTCTCTCCTCTTCCACGCAGACAGTGTCTCAGTTACCATAGGTCTGAGTGTCCAGAGGTCAGACAGCCCCGGACCTCGGCTGAGGGCCATATGTAACAGACGTCATGAGAAACTCCTGACATAATGCACACTGTCTGGCTAGCGCCAGAGAGCAGGCATGTCAACTCTTTATGACAGCCGCTCATTTTCCACATCACGGATTACAAGTGTCATTAAATAAGTGAGAGAGGAGAGTATTAAATAAACACTAATAAAACTGCCAGTGTTTCATGAACAGACATGCTTGCCAATTTAAGGACTGAAAAAGAAATTAAGCTAGCTTCATTTGAGCTTAAAAGAGCATGCCTTGGAATATTGCTGACAAGGTCTGTCTATACATTAATAACATTACTTCATCAGTTTTTACGTTTTCTTTTTCTCGAAGAGAAAAAACCCTAACATGCTTGTCTCTGGTAGAAAAAGCTGAGGAGCACTGCAAACTAAGGCAAGACCCAATCACTCAGAGACGAGCACCATACAATGGTGATCTATGAAGATTGACATCAATAGAGATGCACATGCCCTGTCCGTGCTCATTGCAGGAGTGCATCATACATCTTTCCTGAGGCCTCTCATTCTATTGCAGACTTTATAAGGAAGGAACAACTAACTAGTCTTTATTGTATAAAGACCTCAACAGAGCCTTTCAGCAGCCGGTGCAAAAACAACAGTAGGCCTACTCTAAAAGTGAATCATGTCGTTTTTCCATGGTAATACTTTCATTTGTTTGGAATCTGTTTTCTGTCCAGATTTGGAATAAAATACTATTGTTTAATGTTCCCTAGTTTCAGGTTTTGGAAGGCACAGAGGAGAGATTGAAGTGTTTGTTAAAGTATGTTTTGTTCTCTCTGTCCTCTGCTAGGGGTAACTTAATGGGCCTATGAAGAGGCACTGAGCTTCTCTTCTGGCAGAACACCACTGCCAGCAGTGGCAGGGCTCCACAAACCGCTGCCCGGAGAAAGAGACGCAGAGGAGAGTCCATTAAACACACACACGCATGCACGCACAGTTTCTCAAATTTCCTTGTCTCTGTTAGGAGCAGGAGTGGGAAGGGGAGGGGGCAATCCCCCTAAAAGCTGCCTCAAACTAGGCTACTCTGGTCTCAATCAGAATGTCACTCCGGGGCGGGGTTAAAGGGGCAGAGGGCCAGGAAAAACAATCACTCCGCAGTGTCACAAGCAGCAGCTGCCCACACATCACTCACATTGGGGAACAATGCTTTACTCCAAGACCCCACCAAGCACCCGTCCCCTTCATAACTCTATCTTGCCTCCCCCTGTCTTCCCCCTAATAGAGCGTACCCACTGTCACATGTTATGAAGACAGCCTCTATTCACAAACATGCTGGCTGCGGGCCCAAGTGGGGTTTCAGTGGTTACAGTAACTGTTCTCAGATCGTCCAAACGAGAACAACACAACAATAGTTCAATCTAGCACTACATCTGGGCTTCATTTGGGGAGCTGGGGTAACATAAGGACAAAACAACTTGAAAGACCACAAACAGAACACATGGCCAGCATACAGTTGCATCACAGCCTTATGGTCAGGCAGATGGCTACAGACATGTATATAAAGCAGTCAGACAAAAACAGCATTATTCTTCTAATACAAGAATGTGAGTTCTGGATTCAGGAACTCAACAAAACAATATTTACAGTGTGAATTTCAGCCACTAGCCTGAACTAATAAATGTCACCCACCAATGCAATACACCATGGGTATTTAACTCTAACCCTGCTGGTTTTCTGTTCTACCTGATACTTAATTGGACCCACCTGGTGTCCCAAGTCTTAAATCAGTCTGTGATTAGAGGGGAATAATGAAAAAAAGCAGAACTGGCTTCGATGTCAAGAGTTGAGTTTGAGGGCAATACACATTAATTGTTTTTGCACACAAACACTCCACACATGTCAGTTAAATTCAGCTCTGTGGGACAGAATGACCATTAACTTCTAATTAACTATGTGACTATTCCTGAACCAACTCAGTTGCCTTGTGGTTAGAGTGTCCGCCCTGAGATTGGAAGAGTTTGATCCCCGGCCGAGTTGTACGAAAGACTGTAAAAATGGGACCCGATGTGTCTCTGCTCGGCACTCAGCATTAAGGAGATAGATAGGGGGTAAGGCCCTGCGATAGAGTAGTGTCCTGTCCAGGGGGTGTACTTGTACCAAGGCCACTTACTTTTTCTGATAAAAGAGAGGTCTTTCCTAATGTGTAGAGGGACCTCACACTGTATGAACACAGATACCATTTTAGGAAAACGTTTGGGGCCTCGTTCTGTAGAACAGGAAATGCTGCAAGGAAAACCATAACTCTGCTGGTGCCCCAGATTCCAGCCAAGGACCCCCTACAAAGGGTCTAACATACACACACACACACACACACACACACACACACCCATGGAGCTCCCCCTGGATGCTCTCTTACTCCTGAGCCCATATGCCAGACTGGACCTCTAACAGGCTATTATAAGGGGCGCTTCACCGCCATAGGAATGTAGGGCTACTCACAATAACCTCCAACTATGGGAACGGGCATATCTAACTCACTGAGGCCTCAGTCACAGCCTCATGAATCACTTGTCATATCTCTGTTAGCTCTGCAGCTCTGGACGAAAACAGACTTTTACTGCAAAACTAGGAGAAAATAAGATCTTACCGGATTGAATGTCCGAAGAGCATTTTATTTTCCTGGGAATATCAGGAATTATTTGTAATTTATTGATGGGTTATTGTGCTAATCTTTAATAATTTGGTTACCTCGATGGCCTCTTAACTGGACCTAAACACTTATCTCAGCCTGCTTATTATTATTATTATCTCCCCTACAGCAACAGCTGGGCTAAACATGGTTACCATTGAAAGCACCGGTAACGACACATCATTTCTGAACTTATTGAGAGATATACAGCCAAATCACTCTAGTTAAGGCCCCTGTGAAACCATTGAAATCCAGAACTTCAGGTCAACTCCTCTGCTTCTCTTGTAGATGTTTTTTTTCTTCTCCACCTAGCAATAAAATAATCTAGTATGTTTCGTCACTTCAGTCTGAAACATGAACAGACGTGTGATTGAAAATCTAAAAGGGGACGGTGGGTGCCTATAACACTATAGGAAGGAGGGGGACTGGAGTTTGTGTATGGAGGAGGGAGGGAGGATATCTCAGGGTTCACGCTGGAACATGAGAAAGAGCCTAGTCATTGGGCATGACCAGAGCTAGCTAGTTTGGTAGCTTGGTGGAGGAAACTGGAATTAGCTAGCCTGATCTGGTCCTCGTTTTCATTAGTGGATTCTGTAACCTCAAGTGGGGGGTAAATAATAACCACTCCTCCTGAGATGAGATCTGATCAGGTCTTACACATACAGTACTTCTCCAATGCACTCACTTCATTCCTGATTCCTGACACATCTCACTGTGTTACACCATGGTGACACTGAGCTGCAGATGACAACCCTGCAGCCATAGAATGTCAACTCATCCCTATAGGTTAGACATGGATGTGCAAAAGGTCCCAGGCTTGGTTCAAAAGCAAGATGTACCAAGATCCAAGCTATAACTGTATTATAATTCAGTTCATTTACTGAACCATACGTTCATCCTGCTGCATCGTTTTCCAGAAAATCAGCATGCCATGTGTTCCTCCTTCCAGCTAGAGAGGGAGATGTAACTGGGCTGCTCTAAAACAAACTTCCTTGCTCCATAGTTGTGTGGAAGCTATATCATATCTACTCAGCGATATCATATCTACTCATCCCCTCCATGTTTTACAGGCCCGAGATAAGAACCTGACCAGAGCCCACAGAAACTGTGTCCATGCTTGTGTGCATGTGTGCTCTATGAAGTTAAATAAGATAAGAACGCTAGAGATATTGCATCAGGATACAGTGTTCATTATGAGTGTAGATGAAATATTGATGTCACTACTGCAAGAGCAAAGAGGAGCAATGATATGTCCATGTGCTACAGTAAACAATTGTGTATTTTCCCCAAATTATTTTCTGTGAATGAGTTTCATGTTTGCAGTAGGGCCTACTAAGAGCTTGTCACATTGAGAGTGAATATCTGGGGAATATCAATAATGTGTGGCATTATGGTAATAAAAAACATAATCTCTAAATATAAAAACAAAACCTTGATTATATTAAGGTATACAAATCTATTCATATTATTATCTAGCAGTCAAGATCTGTTGAAGTCACTTTAAAAAAAAGTGAGACGCAATGACAACCATACCCTTTAACTCCTCAGATCCGTCCTGCGTGCATCCTCCATCCCCGGAGTGCTGCCACGGAGAGGTGTTCCCCATCAGCGGTCTGGCGGTGACAGCTCCTCGCGCTCCACACATACGGTCCGCGGGCTCCATCGTACAGGGAGGCTTTGTATGGAAGTCCGAGACAGGCATCATTGAGTAATACCCTGAAATATCTTCGTTCGGGGAAAGATTCCCTCTCATTCTTCGGATCTGAAGCTGTGATAAACTATCGTAGTAAAATAAACACAACCTCATGAAAAGAAAGAAGAATCCAGATAAAGGTGGTGATTTGCTCCTTTGCTGTCAAAAGCTTGATACTCCTGATTTGTTGATTTTCGCACTCTCCAGTCAGCTGTCTGTCGCGTAGCCTTTGCTGTGTGTGTGAATGAACAGTCATATCCCGTGTTTACTACCGAGCGTGGCTCCTGTCTGCTTGTAAAATGTGGGCGTGGTGAGGCTTGAGTGATTTAGCCAGGACACAGTCAGTTTGTAGCGCTAAATGCACTCTTTTCTTATGCCATTGAAAACATTTCCCAAAAAGACAAATAAATGCTATTCTGAGCTATCCTACAGATTTACCCGCTATAGCCTAGACTATGTAACCTATTTAGTAGGTAATACATCATAAAGAAACATAGATTCTGCCATGATGGGTCCTACATGAGAGTAATCTGCCCAGACACAGAAATTGGATGTCTCTACCATGCTCACGATTAGAAATAGGTGTAAATGAACCTTTGACAACAAATGCTTCAATTTGTCAGTGTGGAAATTTCAATGGTTGTGTGTTAGAACAAACAGTGATGAACATTGGCATGATGCTCTGTCTGTTATTGCCTTATCATCCCCACTGGAATGGAATTTATGGAACTTTGCCCAAAGATCACCCGAATCCAAGTAGGTCACACAGGTCTGGCCTACTGTACTTGAGTTACATGCAGCTCCATAAACTTTTGAATGGCAGTTGAGCTACTTCTCAACTGTTTCTGTATAATGCCTTATTGTGGCTTGGGCTTTTGCAAAATGCTTAACCTGACCTTTGAGTTCTACTCATGAGAGACAACTTGGGAAATGTCCAGAGTGCTGCTTGTATTCAATTGTTGTTGGATTCTTGCCCCAAATCATGAGGGAGAAACAGGATATTAATCTATGTTCTGTGTAGCCTTTGCTTAATGAGAGCCAATAGTGGCAACTTCACCCTGTGCTACAATGTCATTCCCACTCTTCCCAAGTTCCATAGTAGCTGCACTACTTATTATAGTATATGCATAATAACACATATTAACACAATAAAGATTTCTGTCTTCCCCTTGATCCTAACTTGGTCTTGTCTGTTCAGTGTGTAGTTTACCCGACAAGCTCCTGAGTGGCGCAGTGGTCTAAGGCACTGCATCGCAGTGCTAACTGTGCCACTAGAGATCCTGGTTCGAATCCAGGCTCTGTCGCAGCCGGCCGCGACCGGGAGACTCATGGGCGGTGCACAATTGGCCTAGCGTTGTCCAGGGTAGGGGAGGGAATGGCCGGCAGGGATGTAGCTCAGTTGGTAGAGCATGGCGTTTGCAACGCCAGGGTTGTGGGTTCGATTCCCATGGGGGGCCAGTATAAAAAATAAAATAAAAAAATGTATTCACTAACTGTAAGTTGCTCTGGATAAGAGCGTCTGCTAAATGACTAAAATGTAAATGATAGGAATGGTAAATGTGGCCCAGTGCCCATAGCTATTAATAACCTGTAGTGGAGTGGGCCGCTTGAGCTCTATCATTAAGAATAGGTTTCTAAATTGCCAGCTAAATAAATCAACGTTTGTTTATTAGGCTTCTTTTACAAGTTGTCCCAAGACAGCCAAGGATTTCTGTGATATCAGGAGACGTTTTAAAATGCCAAGCAGCATTAGAACACACAGTACCATGCTGGTGCCTGCCTGGTTGTCATGTGAAATCCCCCAGCTGGTGATTGTGATTCATTGACTATACAGGGACAGGCTCTGAGTGAAGGGTGCAGGACTGGAATGGGCTGGTTTTCGGAGCATGCTCAGTTGGAGCGGGAGGAATTTTCCACTGTGTGTCCAGGCAGCAGCCATAGAGGGGGCAAAGGCTCTCTGTTCAGAGGGTCTGCCTGTGTGCATGAGTTATGTTGTAGTGTGTTATGGTGTGTGACTGTGCATTATTGTTTACTTCATGTGTGTAGTGGTATAACTACTGTGGACGATGAGTGTATGTGTTTATGTGAGTACAGTATGTATGTGCTCTTGTGTTCTTTCATGTTTTATTTTCGTTCATGGCTTTTTTTCACAATATGTTTTTATGTCAATGGGGGATGTTAGGGGTTCTGTGTATGTTTGTTGTGTTTGTCTGTGTGGTCTGAATGTGCTTGCTCTGACTGTGAGCATTTCACAATCATGGTTTGTTTTTAACTCTCAGGGCCAGGCTCCCACTCGACTATCTTTCTCTCTGGGCCAGAGGGTATTCCTCTTTAGGTCCATTACACATTACACAACCCTCTCTGCCCTTCATCTGTCTCAGCTGATAACAATCAGCAGGTCTCTCTCTCTCTCTCTCTCTCTCACACACCGACCTTGGCACAGAGCACTATAACGGACTATAGCCGTGTGTGTGTGAGTCCACAACATACCCTGGTAATGCTCAGGTCTGACCAGACCATTATAACCCATAAAACAGATGTCACTGAACCTTCTACTTCCACAATCCTCTGAAGTCCCATCAAATTACAGTATTGAAAGGGAATTCAGTCATGTTTTAAATGTGTACATTATATGGATTATGGTAATAAATGATTTTTAAAAATAGTAATTTACCTGTATGCAATGAGGGAGAAATAAGTTAAAACACTACATGTGGAGAAAATGCGAGCTCCTCATAAATCAATGCACCTGGGATTGGATGGGAGTGTTTATGACAATTTTGCCCGTGGAATATTTCAAGACATCTGGGTTAATACACTGCCATCTATTGGTGAAAGGTTCTCAGTATTCTTTTTCAAATAAAAAATACAATAATATTGTATTAGTCACATGCACTGAATACAACAGGTGTAGACCTTATAGTGAAATGCTTGCTTACAAGCTCTTTCCCAACTATGCAGAGTTAAGTAAGAAGATAAAAACATAAGAGAAATTAAACACACAAGAATGAAGCTATATACAGGGAGTACCAATAGAATATCAATGTGCAGGGGTAGAAGTTAGTTGAGGTAGATATGTACATGTATGCAGGCTAAGTGACTAGGCGTCAGGATACATAATAACACCATGTTGTGTACTTTGCTTTGTTGTGCTACTTTAACTTTTTGCTAAAAGCTAATACATGGTTCAGTAACAGCTATCTATTCCTTATTGATTCAATGCTCTTATTTCATTTAGAGCTAATCACAGACAAACTGAATTCCTACAGCTGAATACTTGGAAAGAAAAACTGAAATACTTTGCAGATGTTCCTTGACCACCCATATAGGCATTTGAAGCTGAACGCCAACATATCCATCGCCAAAAATGAAGAACAAAACTGAAAAGAAGCCTGTAATAAGGAGTAGAGAATCTAAAGAGGTGGAGTCGTTTTGGCCAGACAGGAGTCGGGAGCTTAAAGTAGCCTACAATTAATTGGGATGCTAATTGGGACTTGTTTCCCATAGTCTCTCTAGCAGGACGACAAACTGAAATAAACGTAAATATCAGTGTCCTATGGAGTGATTTAAACGTCTAACTTCACCCAGTTTTGCACAGGCTCTTATACGGTACCTTTTATGCAGTTGTGCAAGACTCCCTTCTTACCACATGGTGACACCAATGTCTTGCTGCATAATCAAGGACTCCATGCAAAAAATCACCCGTCTTATTTAGGTCATACACTAGCATATCAATATCAAGTTCATGCATGCTCACTATTCCTTTAGCAGGCACTCCCAACAACAGAAAAGCATTAAAGAACAGAAAGATGAAGCCTGGGTACATTGAAAGACAACTGTTATTCCACAGTCATAGGGATATAATTTAAAGATTTGTTATCTGTGCATTCCAAATCGCTCACACCCAAAAGTCCGTTATAATAGTATTCTATCGCTGTTGGTGTCCAGGCGCATAGATACACACAATGCCCTCCTTATCTGACTGAGTGAAACCCCAGGGAAGGGCCACACTTTTGGACAACAGGTGGGGCTGACAGATTGGTCAGTGTTAAGTGCTGAGAATAAGGCAAGACTCATTCACACCCACATAAGGAAAACCAGGTAAAGTCATAGACAATCATCAGTCTATGCGATTCTGCTTGTATCTTTCAATGGACTTTGTGTTCAAGTTTGACAGTGCCTCATGAAGTTGTCCATAAGAATAAAATGCTAACCATTTTCTGTTTCTGTTTTCTATTATATAGTAAATATATGAAATTACAATCACAAACAATCCTTGCAAAGAAAGAAGGACCTCAACTTGAACAGATGGTGGCAAAACTCCCTGCTTGACTTTCTTGACTTTCGTACTTGTATTTATTATGGATCCCCATTAGCTGCCTTGGCAGCAGCTACTCTTCCCGGTGTCCAGCTAAATTAATACAGTTATACAATTTTAAAAACATTACAATACATTCACAACAGATTTAACAACACATTAAGTGTGTGCCATCAGGCCCCTACTCCACTACCACGTATCTACAACACAAAATCCATGTGTACGTGTGTGTATAGTACAGTGAGGGAAAAAGAACACTCTTAAAGGGAGTGCTCCTAATCTCAGCGTGTTACCTGTATAAAAGACACCTGTCCACAGAACCAATCAATCTATCAGATTCCAAACTCTCCACCATGGCCAAGACCAAAGAGCTCTCCAAGGATGTCAGGGACAAGATTGTAGACCTACACAAGGCTGGAATGGGCTACAAGACCATCGCCAAGCAGCTTGGTGAGAAGGTGACAACAGTTGGTGCGATTATTCGCAAATGGAAGAAACACAAAAGAACTGTCAATCTCCCTCGGCCTGGGGCTCCATGCAAGATCTCACCTCGTGGAGTTGCAATGATCATGAGAACGGTGAGGAATCAGCCCAGAACTACACGGGAGGATCTTGTCAATGATCTCAACGCAGCTGGGACCATAGTCACCAAGAAAACAATTGGTAACACACTACGCCGTGAAGGACTGAAATCCTGCAGTGCCCGCAAGGTCCCCCTGCTCAAGAAAGCACATGTACAGGCCCGTCTGAAGTTTGCCAATGAACATCTGAATGATTCAGGGGAGAACTGGGTGAAAGTGTTGTGGTCAGATGAGACCAAAATCGAGCTCTTTGGCATCAACTCAACTCGCCGTGTTTGGAGGAGGAGGAATGCTGACAATGACCCCAAGAACACCATCCCCACCGTCAAACATGGAGGTGGAAACATTATGCTTTGGGGGTGTTTTTCTGCTAAGGGGACAGGACAACTTCACTGCATCAAAGGGACAATGTACCGTCAAATCTTGG